CACGGCAGAACTCATGGCTAGAACCCACCATCTCCTGTCCCATCCCAAACTGCTTTCACCTTATTACAAATTCTTCAGGCCACCACTGATGTCACAGATAGATTTCCTTTCTGGATTTGATGCCTTGAACAGGGGAGAGGCACTAGGCACTGCAGAGAGTTCATTAATGTTTAATGATTTGTTGTCTGCATGAGCTAATGACCCAAATCCATGTTCTCTGGTTAAAAATAAAAACAAACAAGAATAAAATAAAGGAAACTGAAAATATACCATAGTCCCCCGAGGCACCCTATCTACAGAAGCCTTACTCATCTAAGAAAACTTCTGTAGATGATCCTTCCATCCTATGTCTCTACTGCTCATTATAAGAAGTGACATTGCATATCTCTTTCCCATGTGGAGCTGTGACAGAATTAGAGGTTGAGGGGAGACTTTTAGATTTTAATTCTTACCTCACTATTCACACTTTGTTGAATTCAATCCTAGAGCATCACATTTTAAAAGCACAAATTGAAAAGAGTTCTCAGAATCTCTCAGCACTGAGATAATGAGTCTCTATAATGAGGGTCTGCTCTGCCTGTACTTTGATCTCATGGGCATTCAGGGAAAGCTGGGCAATTCTCAGGTCAGCCCCAGCTTGTTTCTTAATCCTCTGAGAGGAAACTGGTCCAAACTTAGGGAGTCTCTGAAAGTTTCCTAATCAGGCCACCACCTTTACTTTCTGCGGAAAGCCCCCAATCCTGTCATAGTTATTTGTCACAGTCACGAGACAGGATTTAAACTCTGAGAAGTCTACTCTCAGTGTTGAGTAAGTGGCACCATCCCATGGGCCAACCATAGAATAAAAAGGAATAATAATAATAATAATAATAATGGTAATAGTAATTATAGTAATACAAGCTGAGCACTGGCTTTCATCTTTCTCTACTTCCTGACTGGGGTTACAATGTGACCGGCTACTTTACGCTCCTGCCCTCATGATGGACTGTACCCCTTTAAACTGTGAGCCAAAAGAAATCCTTTCTTCCTTAGGTTGCTTTTGTTGAGTATTTTGTGACAGCAATAAGAAAAGTCACTCACTTGAAAACTATACAAAACTCCCTCCATTCCACTTAAGAGATTGAAGTCTGAGAACCTCCACTCCGAAAAGACTGGCCACTAAGGCCAGCACCCAATCAAAAGGCCCCCACTAATGAGGTCATCACTGGGTCTCTTCTTCTGGAAGGTTCTATTTGCTTTTCCCTGTCATTGCACTGCTTCCAAGATGACATGAGTCTTTCAGAGTGCCAGACAGACAGAATGAGCCCTGCAAGAAAGCCTGATGCACTTGGCTCTGTCCTTTTACATCACTGATCTCAATAATGTGCACCCAATTCACTTCTCCTGTCACCAGGACCCAAGAAGCATGATGTAAGAGGATGTCTTTTGAGGCACATTACACACACACACACACACACACACACACACACACACACACACACACTGCTTAGTACAATGGTCATAGCTACAAAGCTACTGTTTGAACTTTTGCATCCTGGGAGCCACTGGCCCCCACCCTGCCCTCCAGTGAATCCTGAAATGATTCTATGCAAATAAAGGCATTATAGAATCTGTGACCCACAAAGCACCTTTCAGTTTCCTTCTGGCTCCATGGCACAGAGAAGTCACAGATTCAACACTCAAACTACATTTAATAAATAGTCCTTTTAGGAATGGAGGCTCCCATCCAAAAGAGCCATGCTCAGGAGCCTCTTTCTCTTCCTCTTTCCATGACTTCTTCTCCAATTAGGGGTTCACAGACATTATCTCATCCCGGGGCTTTGGTGGTGGCAGGCAGGTAACAGGGTGAGCAGACTGCTTTCCATTGCTTAATTGCTGAAGTCGGAAAAGGCAGTGGCCGTGTTAAAGGTACACAGCAAGCCGAGGAGAAACCTCCTGTCCTAAGTCCACTGCCCTGCTCTGTCTGTCCCAGAAGCAAAGCGGAGCTCGCCCTTGACATTTTGGTTTGGTTGCAAAACGCTGAATATACACAGAAGGAGAAGTTCTTCCTGGACTCTGTGTGCTGAAATGTGAGAATTACCTCTGCTAGCTCACTCCCACCCCCTTCCTCCTGCCTACTCAAGTTCTACCACACTGGCTTTCAGCAGCTGCCAGGTGAAGCCCTGGCCAACACCTTGTCTGATCACATGTCTTTTCAATGTCTTTGGCACACACCATGATTGATCCAGCAGACCAACTCTCCTTGAAAAAGCAAGATTCAGGTAAGAGGTGGAGACACTGGGGGGGGGGGGCGCTGTGCATTAACTGTGTACATGAATCGGGTTCTCAGGGATCTTGCAAATAATGCATCGAAACAATAGGGATATAAATAGGAGAGTGACTGTGTGCCACACGTTCGTTCTGTTCAGCACTTTAAGGCACCCTTCATTTAATAAGAACGTTCAATGACGTACCAGCCCCTCCCCCATCACAGCTGGCCTTCCTTTCACAGCCTGCAAGGCACATACTGCCTGCTGCCTTCCCTTTCCTAGAACCACCTCCAGCTACAAATGCAAGGCCATCCACTGGACCCTAGATATGGCTTTGCTTCTCAACTCGTCGAGACCAAGGCCTTTCACAAAGGCTCCAATGAGGTGACTGACATCTGGTTTCGTCAACTATAAGTGAATAATTAATACTTGCCAGTAAAGAAATAGACTCATTGTTATGGTGGCCACATGAAGGCTACAAAAAGGCCATTTTGTGAAGCTCTTGGTGGAACCCTGGGGCTAACAGTGGCCCAAAGAAGCCTCTTGGAACATGGAGGCTGAGGCTGGAATGTGAGGACAGGAGCCCTATACTGTTTTCTAGCAACATGGTTCCCAATGCTAATTAGCTTGTTGCCTATTCATCACCTAATTTAGCTTTCAGGTCAATGACAGCCTCTGAGGCCCACTGAACACAGAGGGGGCACAATAATCAGAGGGTACATGTTCTGTTACTGGGGCCCTTTGCTAGTTGTTAAATTACTTCTCCCTGTGATCTGATTTGAGCAAACGTCTCTGAACCTAGACTGCTGTATACCCCCACCCCTGGCCTAATGCCTAATTCATGCTTTTCTTTTTCATTTCCCACCACAGAGTGAACAAGGCAGTCTTGGGTTCCTATACAACCAGTCGGATCTGGCCAGGAAATATAATAAAGAAGCTTAGTGAGCTAATGCCACTGGCCTGGGGCTCAGCAAGCAGAAGTACCCAGAGGCACTGGCTTTATACGCAGCAGTATGCTGTTTGTGGCTTTGTAACTGTCAGGGCAGATGGCAGCTAGCTTCAGTAAGGAAGCTATGGGAAAATTTCACACCCCATAAACAGAGACTGGTGATCAACAAAAGCCTTCTGGTGACAGAAACCCCTGACCTATTGCTCACAAATGCTCTCTCTCTCTCTCTCTCTCTCTCTCTCTCTCTCTCTCTCTCTCTCTCTCTCTCTCTCTCCTCTCTCCCTGCCCATCAGGCCAAAGCAGTCGACAGCTGCTAGATATGTCATTTTGGTGACAGTATCACGCCCACATCTAGCTTACATCTGAAAGTCAACCACTAGAGACAACAAATATTTTGACTTCAACGTTGTCTCCTATTAAAATGTCTGCTAGCCTCAGCCTCCTTTCTGATCCCATGACTTCTGAGGCACCTGCTTGGCATCCAATGGGAAAACCTTTTGCATTTAGCTCTTCAAGATAAACAGTACTCACTGGCTCCTTTCTCAAGCAAGTTTGACAGGAGACAAGGGATATATAGAGCATTGCAGGGAAGGGGAGAAGGCTCCAGGGGGGTATGGTGGTGGGGACAACTCCCTTCAAGGACTCTACAATCATGACTACAGATATTAGTCTACATTTTTCGTCCTGCATTGAGTGCTAGGCATGGATTCTAGCAGGGCCTGTTGTACCCAAGAGTAAGGCTGGTCACTTCCTGCCCTAAGGGGAGGGGGCAAGAAGCAGAAACGGTAGTTTAGGGGCCAATAGGCTCTTGACTTGAGCCCCTGACTGCAGTCTGTCCTCCAAGTCTTCTTAGCCAACTGTGGGGTTGTGGGCACTAGAATCTGGGCAAGCCAAGTTCAAAGTCAGGTTCCCTGGGCTGGGATGCTGGACAGGAAAACCATCATTCGGTTGGACCATGCTCCCTGCCCCCACTCTTCAGCACAGGCTACTCCTTCCCATCCTGTGCACACAGGAGGACGTCCCTCCCTGGCGGGGGGGGGGGGGTTATGTGTGATATGACCATCTTTCACAACAGGCAGGTTGGCTGCTACATATGAAGGAAACCTTGTCCGCAAGGATTCCATCACCTCACCTCTTCGCTCCCTGCAGTCAACCGGGAGAGAGGTGCTAGCATAGGCCAGAACGCTTCGAAGCAGGTCAGCCATGCCTCCTGGCTCACCAGAACCCCCTCTCTCAAATCGCGCTGCTGCAGCCCTGGCCCCGCCCGGCTCCGGTTCACCGCTGGCGCCCAGTACCCCACTGCCTACCAGGCGGGCCCAGGCGGCTCTCGCTAGCCTTGGGGGAGTGAAGGTGGCCGCGACCGCAGAGGCGGGGACCGGCCAGAGATCTGCAGTACCTGGGCGTAGGGATGTGGCCCCCGCCTGGCTTGTGGCCCCCCACAGGTATCCCTGGTCCTCGACACTATCCCTGTCTCCCCTTGGGGTGGGCGGCTCCGGCCCAGGCCACGCACCTGCTGCTGCTGAGGCCGCCGCGGGGACCTCCGCGCTGTACCGGCGCCTCCTGGGAGACGCTCCCTGCCCAGGGCGCCCAGTGCGGCGGAGAGGAGAAGGGGCAGCGCGGGGCCTGCAGCTGGGCCTCTAGGGACTCGGGGCCGCACAGCCTCGGGCGCCAAGCCAAGCGCCCCCAGCGGGCTGGGAGAAGTGGCGCCCGCCCCTCGCGCATCCTCAGGAGAGCATCCTCCTCCTAGGCAAGCATTTCGGCCCCCGCATCATCCCCGACAGACATCTCCAAGAGACTCTTACCTGGGTCGGTGGCAGGTCCAGGGGAGGGGCCCGAGGCTACCGCAGGGCCCCGCGCCGCGCCGGGGCGCAGGATGCTCAGCCCCGCTCCGCCGCTGCGCCGGCCGCCCGCCGCGCCCCGCCCGCGGCTCCGCCTCTCCGCGGCTCCTCCTCCAGCCACCGTGCCCGGCCCCTCCGCCGCCGCTGCTGTCACACAAAGAGCCGGAAATGGTTGCGGCGAGGGGCTCCCTGTGCACCCCTGATCTGCAACCTCCCGCTCCCAAGGGCCGCGCTGGACTCATACTTTCCGGCTTTAGAGTATGCAGCTTCCCGACTCTGGAGGTGGAGGAGGGACGCCTTCTCTGTTGCTTGCCTCCATCACTAGCGACACCTGCCACCCCAGAAGGAAGCAAGCTTCGGCTTCATTCGCAACTCCCCAGTGTCAAATTATTTTCAAGTAGTCATTTCTCCATCACATCTTTATCGACTACCTGTTTTGTTCCAAGCGTCTTGTCTAGAGTCAGGTATGCACTGGTGTACCATAGAGGCTCTTCCTTGCCCGCTTGGAGCTTATTATCTGTCAGCATTAACTGACCTAACAGAGGTCCAGTGACAGCTGGGAAAATCAGCTGAAGGAGAAGGCTGAGTTAGGGGTTAGGCCCTCCCACTAATTGAGCTTTCTCCTTAGTGCCCCACCTGTGGTCAAGAATTTCTCCTGGGGTCTGTGTCGCAGAGGATGAAGGTGCTTGCTGCTAAGCCTGATAACCTTGTTCGATCCCCAGAATCCACGTGATGGAAGGCGTCAGAAAGCGCCTGTAAATTGTCCTCTGATCTCCACCCACATGCACTCACACCCTTATACACACATGCACACAATAAATAAATGTAGTAATTTAAAAATAAAGAGAAACTTCTCCTACTTTTCCATTTCTTAAGAGTAGAACCCCACAGCTATCATATATTTTTAAAGTACTGGTCCGTGTCAACGGCACTCAGGAAGAATTGCCTTGTGGACAAAATCATGATGTGTGGACTTTGAGGCAAATCCAGAAAGAAGCTGAGGGAACAGGCACCTTTGTTTGTTGTTAGTTTGTTTGTTTTTCCTTTAGATGCTGCTTCAGCTGTTCAAATAATCTGTGCTCCTTGAGATGCAACCTGGAGGCTTTTAGATAGGGATGAGGCAGGCTACATTGAATCCTGGCCAGTAGACTCAGCCCAGGAGAACTAACTGCAAAGTACTTGAGACGCTGGAGTGTGGGTGTGTAGAACTAATGAGTAAAGAAGGTCAAAGGGATCTTGTTAGAGCTCACAAATTTGGGCTTAGCCAGTTGTTCCCTATAAATGGCTACTGATGGAGAAAACACTTTATCCAAGTCTCAGGAAAGTACTCGAGAAGACTCCACTGATCTCACATACTTCCCCAAGGGCTCAGGACTCGCAATCCTCTGTGGTTTGATGTTACATCACTGGTCTAATTTAAATTGCTATTTCAGAAGGGATGACTTACATATATAGCAACACACATACACGCCCCCTCTCCGATGCCATGTGAGAAAGCCATGGGGGTGTTTGTAGGGGATAGCTTTAAAAAAAAAAAAACTCAGGTTTTATCTTTTTTCATTGTCTACCATGGTCCTTGGAATTTTGATCTGCAGTGGCTGTAGATGCTTATGAGTGAGAATTGCAATTCGTTGGGTTTTCATCCTAAAGACCATATTGTCTGGGGTGTTTTTATTTACCCAGAGATGTATTTCTCTGTGTTGTTCTTTCTCTGTCTTTGCAGCAGAGGAAAAGTTTGTTCAGAAACAGAAATATGACAGTTGTCTTGTATGGGGCTATATTTTAGGCAATTTTATTTTCTCTGGCTGTTGAGTCCTGCTTGCTCCTAGAAAAGAAGCAGCATGGGTTTTTATAGTACTGAATCAGAAAGACAAATACTTGCCTTTTTGTTTGAGTTTTGCAACCAACTGAAGAGTGACCTTAAGCAAGAAGTTTTGTCCTCTACACCCGCCCCCCTCGTTTCCCCATCTATAAATTTAACTTGGCTACACTCCAACATCCCTCTGTATGGATAGAATTACATGAGTTAAAACAGAGGGCATTTCCTTCTCAGAGTTAGGGTGCTTCCTTAGCGTCACATTGCCCTTGGGATGGAGCCTAAACTCTATAGTGGCCTAGTAGGGTTCTTCCCATGTGAACAAATTTGCTATGACTTGGTGAAAAGAAACCCCTTTAGTTCCCCAAATTTGATGTGTTCTAGCTTCAGTTTGACCCTTGCACTATCTTGGAAGGCTCAATTCTCTGACTCTGTTGCCCTTCTACACTTTCTCCCAGGTCATCTGATCTACTTTCATTAATGCTTTTGGTATTTCCTTAGCTGTCACTTCTCGAAAGCTCCTTCTTTGGCTGGCTTAGGAATGGAGTCATTGCCTATGTTTCTGTGACTTCCTAGTCATCCTTCCATCTACTGTGCTGTGTCATAGCTGCATCTACAATTGCCTGTATCCCTCCATTAGATTTTATCTGAAAGAGCAATAGTGATGTGTCTGTCTTGCCTCTTGAAGTATCTGCAGAGCCTGCCACTGAGTCTAGAAAATAACATGACTTAAGTGGGGGGGAGGTTGAATAAACAGTTCAAGGTGAATCCTTACATATCACTATTAAAATTTGTAGCTGTCTGCTACCCTGAGATTTCTTTCATATCTCAACTCAGGCAGTGCCACCAGAGGTGAGAAGATTGAGGCTGGTGAGTGAAAGTTGCTCTGCTGTTTGTGAGGCCACAGCTAACGTATTAGGGCTCCATGGATGGTAACAGCACATGCTTGTAGGAAAGTGTCAAATCACTCAGGCTGTGTAGTATCCACTGAAAAACCACCAGCGGACACTCATTCATGGCCACCAGTAGAGGAGGCACTTGGATGGGAAAACACAGCATAGTAACTATTGCCCCGTGCATCACCTCATTTAACTTGCACAATTTCTCTACTAGGAGAATACAATCATGTGTTTCACTCTATAAGTGAAGGTGAGGCTGGTAAAGGAGCTTGCCCAAGGTAATGAAATCAAACCTATGTTGTCTGCTACAACAGCACCCTAAACTCCTGTTTCCCAGAGAAAAATCTCTGTATTCATATGCTATTATTCCAAAAACATTCTTTTAAAAAAATTCATTTATTATCTATATAGTGTTCTGCCTGTATGTATGCCTGCGCACCAGAAGGCATCAGATCTCATTCTAGGTGGTTGTGAGCCACAATGTGGTTGCTGGGAATTGAACTCAGGACCTCTAGAAGAGCAGCCAGTCCTCTGAGCCATCTCTCCAGCCCCTTAAATCATTCTTAAAGTACATTGTTGGGCTATAGTATATTAAAGCTAAAATATAAAAGGGCAGATGAGATGGTTTAGTAGGTAAAGGTGCTTGCTGCCAAGCCTGATGATAAGAGTTCAAACCCTGAGACCTACATGGTGGGAGAAGAGAACTGACTTCCACAAGTTGTCATTTGACCTTCATGTATGCACCATGACACACATGTGCCCCCACACATACATACAATAAGTAAATGTAATCAGTGAAGAATTTTCTAAGAAGGAAGATTAAAGGGGTATAAGTGGGAGATGGAGGCAAAACTGAGTATCATTGGAGACAGAAAAAAACAAAAACAAAACAAAAGAAAAACGCTGTGTACTTACTACATGTAGCACTTGATATTTGCTTCTAAGCATCTATGTTGCTACTAAGCAAAGAAACACTTTATAACCACATCAGTTATGTAATTTAGACTGGTTACTATATAATGCTCCGCATTGCCTCGCTTTCTGATTGGTCCCAGACTCTAGATCTCTCTCTAGGGAACTAGGTTGCTGTAGTCTTTCTTAGGCCCTGAAAATATTTGCCATGAAAAGCATTTGCCTGTCACCTGGCCATTCACTGATGGTGAAGATTTCATTTATTTAAACAAATCCCATTTATGATAATTTCAGATAATAACTAAAAAGAAGAGTGTTGCAAAACCTGAGAGGAAAACCCAGGCATAGTGGCTCCATACTCCTGTCACAGGATGGTTGCCAGCACTGGGAATTGGAGCTAGCCAGGGTTGACTTGGAGCCCCATTCTTCTACTTCCTAATTGTAGGACCTGAGTGATTTACACAACTCACTGAGCCCTATTCTCTTTATTTGTAAAGTTGGGAAGATATTACTGGACCCTTCCCTTAGACTCTTGTGAAGATAAATGAAACAACTCCTTTAACAGGCTAGGCAGAGTCTGGTACATGGTAAATGTTCAAGAACAGGAGCTAGCGTTGCTATTATTAAATGTGGACTGCATTTTGAATAATCCTTAGAGAAGTGCAGGACTCCGATTAAGTGTCATGGTCCAAACTCTGCACCTCAAAGTATGTGAGAAACCTCTCTGACCCTGCTTCCTCCTATGACACACCCACTCCTAATATTATCCCACAGAGGATGGGAAGATCAAGCAGCCTTAGGCAAGACAGTGCTTCTAGAAGGCCAAAACAGGAAAGCAAGCACATGTTTGAGTTGTTTGTCTCGGTTTGTGGGCACATCTACCCCCCAATCAGCCTTTGAGATGCAGGAAACTCCATAGAAGCTCTGAAGGTGTAGAGGGATGGGAGTGGGTCATCAGCCAAAAGGCTGAGGCATCAGAATCTGCCAGGATCCTCTAGCAAACACTCAAGTAATTGTGGCTGTGTGCACCTAGCACAAAAACATGGTAGGTGTCTTTAGTCACTGTTCTATTGCTATGAAGAGACACCATGACCATGACAACTCTAATAAAAGAAAACATTTAAAAGAATATATAAGAAATATAAAAGAAAACTCACAGTTTCATAGGCTTTGGCCCTTTTCATCATGGCAGAGAGCAAGGTACTGGAGCAGCAGCTAATCTGAAGGCAACAGGCAGAGAGACACCAGGCCAGGCATGGGCTTTTGAAACCTCAAAGCCCAGTGACACACTTCCTCCAACAAGGCCACACCCATTCAAGGCCATGTCTCCTAACATTTCTAATCCTTTAAAGAGTTCTACTCCCTGGTAACTAAGCATTAAAATAAATAGATGAACTGGTGGGGACCATTTTCATTCAAACCATCACAGTAGGTGAATAGACACATGTGTGAAATAAAATATCTCTACACTGCTTCTAACAGTATCTGCATAATTCATGCTATGGTGGCCTGTACTGACATTGTATAGTAAATTCAGGGTGTCTGACTTCCAGGACAGGTTGATGATGACATGGTTGTGTCCATCCATCCTCCAGTGTGGCAGAGAATACAACTGCTTCCCAAGCTTGCCAGGCCGCATGCAGAGTAGGCTCCTGCATTTCTCCCACTAATGCCGCATATAGGCAGGCAATGGCTGCGTTTTCTGTAACATAAACATTGGCTCTCACTGTAACCTGCTTGCCCAAAGGGTCTGGATAGCTTCCAAAAGCTAACTGGTCACTGTCATAGACACAGACAGGAAAGCCAGAGGTCAGAGGTCAGAGAGAGTAATCAAAGCAGTTGTGTAGTTGGCAACCCTGAGTGACCTTGGGGGCGGGCAGGAGACCAGCATCGTCCTTCTGGGGAGCAGTCAGATGGACAGGGACAGTTCTGGTTGGTTCTGGGCCATCAGCTCCTTGTACCCTGTCTGGCTAATGATGTTCTTGAGCTGCAGCAGGTGGTCCTGCCTGCCATTCTCTAGGCTCTTTTTTACAGGCTTCAATCTCGAGGTTTAGTTTGGCGATTTCACTGTTCAGCTCCTATCGCTTGGCTTTCCGATGTAGAAGCTCTTGGCTCACAGACTCACAAATCCGACGCTAGAACATGATTTACCTCATAGAGTTCACTGCCAGACTGAGGGCCAAAGACACATTTGCTGGCTTCATCTGCCTCATCCAGAGTGGTGATGTAATCATGATCAATGAGGGGGAAGAACACCAGGATGATGAGACTCAGCCATGTCAGCTGGATGTGGTTGGACCAGCACAATCATGCGGGTTTAACCACCATTCCTCACTCCCCTATTCCACAACATGGTATAGCCTGGCATGAGTGCTCTCTTGCCCACTCTGACCACATCGGATCACTCTCCATAACCATGAGTTTGTCTGAAAAAACTCAACCTCATTTTCACACACACAAGTTTCTGCAAGAGTCAGTGTGCTCCCTGCACAAGGTACCAAATAAAACAGAAACTTCCTTTTCCTCAGTTGTGACTCAGGAGGTCTCCAACCCTAGTTAGGCAGATCCTAAGCATTGGTTGTTGTCGTCAAATAGAAAAAAGTACCACATGACTGATGGGATGAAAAGGAAGAGATCCATGGTGTTAAAATCCAGGGGAAAGGCCCTGGGCTTGGAGGGACCATTTTAACTGCCATAGCTTTTGTTCCTTGGCTTTGTTAACCAGCCAGCATGCACAGCTTCTATTAGGATTATGTAACGACTTGTAAAAACAGCTGGCAGTTTGAAATGCCAACCCTGTCCTCCAAGTCACTACCAACAATCAGGCCTTACCTGGAAGCGTTTTTCCATTCTCTGCCTTATGTAGTAGCATTATGCTTCAACATATGAATTCTTGAAATAGTTAATACCAGAGCTCTCTCTCTCTCCAATGATTCTCAGAGCATCAGCCATAGCTGGGAGCCCCACAGTCCAAAGCAGACAGAAGCCATTGCTCTTGTGAGAAAGGCACAAAGTTAGTTCAATTGGACAGCAGTGCTGGAGGGGAGTGGAGGGCAGTGGGCATCGAGTCAGTGGGAGGGAAGCAGGGGAGCAGGGGTCTGGAAGGAGCATCAGGAGCAGCTACCAGGAGGCAGAGCTAGTACCTCCAGTAGTACCACTTTTAAGGCTATTGCAAATTAATATGAATTGTATCCTCAGAACACATGCTTACCATGCAAATACAGTATCTTCCTCTAACCACATTCCTCATCTGAGTTCCTGGGATACCTTCTCTCTCGTCTTAAAATGATGGCACTGTGTGTTGGGAGGTTCAGGCAGCAAGGACCCTGCAGGAAGAATCCTGAGAAACAAATCTGTTTGTCCAAGCTCCTTTAGAGTTTTCCCATGTCAGGCACCAAGCCCAGAGTGGAGTGTTAGACACAGTCCAGTGGAAGTCCCATGCTTTCCTCCCCGTGCTTAATGGCCCACAGAGCAGGGGTTGATTCCTGAAATGGACTTGGGCATTTGTGAGCAGAGACACATCAAATGCCCAACACACCCAAACCCTGATAGCCAAGCTTGCAGTCCATGAAAGTTATAAGAGGAGACACTACTTATTACTGTCAGCAATGGCAGAGGAAGTTTAACTCACAGTAGCTGTATGCCACCCACACAGCAGACAGTGAGTGAGTATGGCCAGTGGCCTGGCACTGTGCGCAAGTACCAGTTTGTTTCTCTTCCATCAACTCTGCCTTTCTCAATTCAACTCATTCCACGCTGTCAGGGTGTATTTTAAATGCAAATTTGATCCTCTCTTCCTGATCAATAAAATTTTTACCTAGAGAGTAGGGCTTTTAAAATATGCTTACTTTTACAGTTTGTTTTAATTTGGTCACTGCTGGTCATTCCCATCATCCAACAGCAAATGTAAGCGCACGTGCACACACACACACACACATACACACACACACAAAATTGATACCCCAGAAACAACAAACTCATAACGTCCCAAAATGTTCTATTCCCTCAATTTGCAAAATACTTCTATTAGTTCTGCCCACTTGCTTCCTAAAAATACCTGTAATTTATATCCAAACTAAGTAAGATGTTACACTCTCTGTAGGGATGTTTCTTAAAGTTAGTGTGCATTATCACTGCCAGGATCTTGTTGAAATGAAGGTTTTTCCCGTAGGTGAAGATGAAGCCTTAGACCCTGCTCATGACCTGGTAATGTTGCTGCTGGACAGTTTGAGAAATGGTGCCAGGATTATCTCCCCCAGGTCATCCTTGCCTGGACCAATTTTATCACCTTTTCCCTAGTCTTCTCAGACAGACAATACTTCCTTTGTTGTCTTAATTGCTGTATTCTAATCATACTTGATTCTGTGTATGACTCTTCAGCAAGGAGCTTCTAGACTTCTTGGTTTCTGTGAGCATCTGTACCCAGTGTTGAAAAACCTTGATAACGTGCTGGGTACATGTGACATGCCACTGATGGTTAGGTAGTTTTTACTTGTGAAAGACAAAACTGTTAGGTCTCAAACTAATGGCCAACTGAGGTGCCTATTTAACATAACAAAGAGGACCTGGACACCTGGTTCTCCCTGCATCCCTCAGTTTCTACCCTGTCACAGAATAAGGCTGGCATACCCTGCCCCTACCCTAAACTTCTCCGGCCCAAGAGTTTGGGCTGCCCTTCCCTATGTAATCAAGCCATTTGGGTTACCCCACCCTTTTTCATCTACCCTGTATTCTCCTGGCTCTCCCCTCTCCCATCTCCTCACACAGCACTACTCAGGGTCATGTCCACTCTGGACTCCTAGATGTCCCTGCCTCTGACTATGCTCTCCCTCATCTCTACAATAAACCTTCTCCGCTATACTTAGAAGCAATCATGTCCTTTCCTTTTCTTTCTCTCTCTCTCCCTTCCTTCCTTCCTTCCTTCCTTCCTTCCTTCCTTCCTTCCTTTCTCTCTCTCTTTCTTTTTCATTCAGAAACTATGTTACCATCTTTATTTAAGCAAAAATTGAAGTATCAGGGATTTGGAACTCAAGCCACAGACCCTGTATTTGTAAAATATATAGCTTTATTTTTTTGCCATATGCAACTGTTGACTTGTGGCCTCTACAGAGGATAAGACATATATGCAGTAATTTTTTTTTCTTTTGAGACAAGGTTTCGCTGTGTAGCTTTGTAGACCAGGCTGGCCTCAAACTCACAGAGATCTGTCTGCCTCTGCCTCCCAAGTACTGGGATTAAAGATGTGTGCCACCAAGGCATGGATATATATGCAATATTTTTATCTTGAGCATGAGCAATAAATACTCTCAATTCAGGCATAAATACATAGTTCAAAACATTAAAAATTTCAAGACCTACAAAGTACAACTGGAACCCCAACTTTTCATCTGGGGGTTCTCTGTGAATACAGAGCATCATTTGTAAGGGTGTAAGAAAGAAACCAACCGACAAGTATCCCATCTTCCCATGGAGGACCCTGGAGAGGTGCACACAGGTCAAGCCTCCTTGGATCTGAAGTTAAGGAAGACAATACCACCACATGGGGGCAGTCTTCTAAACCACACCCCAGACAGACATCTCTCAGTGGCAGTGGTTTTCTTCTATATTAAATGTCCCAAAACTGTCTCTAAATTAAGGGTTCCAGAAAGAGAATGTACAGTAGGCTGAGAAGTAATCAGGGATGATTGTGGGCCAGTTGAGGAAGACCATTTTTCTGAATGACAGAGTTTTATCTGGACACCATAATTATAGTTGGAAGTGATTGCATCTGAGTCTCAAGCCAGCCAGAATACCGTGTGATTTAGAAAGAGGGATCCACAACTCTGATCACTTCTCTGGGAGCTTTATCTGAACACCTTAGCAGAATCAAGTGTGCCTGGCATCAGGGAATAATCCTTCTTGCAAGAGAACCAGCTGGAGGGGGAGGGGGTAATTACAGGAAACAGCAGGAGACTTGTTGAAAGCCCCTTTGAAGCTCTTGTATGAATGGCCTCAGGAAATGTGACTCTGGTAGGTTGGGAGAATGAAAGGGTTAGTTCTGGGTAGCTTTGAAGTTGTGAACTCAGATCCAGGTGAGGGTGAAGATGAAGAAAGACAAGCACCTATTTCAATTTGGAGGGATCCATTGCGCCCCCCAGTGGTCTATGCAGGAGCAGCGTCACTGGGTGGCACTGCACGCTTGTATTAGTCTGCTCAGCAATGCAATCTCAGGAGGAGGCAGTGTTGAAGAGAAATGAGGCTGCTCTGGAGTCGTATTTGGGTGGCATTTCAATCTCTGTCCTTCTCAATTCTGCCACTCTGGGCAGCTGTCTGGCTTCTGCTTTCTGTACATCGTCAATAATACTGTGCCGTCGAGTTCGTATGGACTGTGATTCTCCAAGAATGGCTTATAGCTCAGGATATACGCATGTGACCTGTGTAGGTGCTAATCAACAGTAGACATCTTGTGCATGTTCAAAGCACCTTCCAGATTGTCTGAGCAAGGGCAAACTTCTTTTGTCAGGATTTTGAGAGCCTTGAAGTCTCAACCTTAAAACTCCTAAACTCCTAAGGCCTATTGAGAACCCGAAGGTCTCAAGTCCACACAGACCAGCACAGTGCTGCCCTCTCATGGTTCAGGTGGGTAGTGCAGAGTGTTTTGTTCCTGAGGGGCTGGAATGATAAACATTTTGTAGTCATTGCCTCAACACTCTGCATAGAACAGGAGACCCAGGTACCCACATGGCTCACTACGAAGCAGGGTGATTGATCGGTAACAACCCAATGCCTTGTTTGTACCTGTTGATTCCCCACCATCAGAGGCCCTCTCATTCCTGACCAATCTCAGACACACAATGGTCTAGCCTTGGGGTTTGAATGGGTCCTTCCACTCTCTCCACCCAATCAAATTCTCTATGCTTCATCAAAGAGAGGTGGCAGTGTGCTCTGAACCTCATGACATCCAGCCTCTGGCACAAGCAGCCACTCCACCTCATGTGAGGCAGGAAGTTGTGGCTGGCAGCCCCACAGCAGCAGCAGAGCCCTCTGGTTAATCACCTCTTGCATTTCTTAGAAAAAGAATGAGGCTTCCCACTCTTTCATCCATAAATGGGGATATTGTCTCATTGGGTCAAATAAAAGGTCCCTTGAATATTGGACCTATGCTTAAAATAATAGTTAAAAAGAAGAATGCGCCCTATACCTGCTTCTCCCTATCGCTAAGAAGGGCAAGAAATAAAAGCAGGTGGTAAAGTTTTTAGATAGCATATGACAAGAGGCTGGGGTGAGGTCGACAGAGAGATACTGCTACTGTTGTAGCCCAGTCTTTGGCCCAGTGGCTGGCCCTCCAGCCTCTTTTAGGATGCTGCAGTCATAGTAGTATAGGACTGGCACCATGGTCCAGGCACCTGTCAGGGGTCCTGGGCTGGTGGCAGCTTTTAATGCTCTGGAAAAAGGACATGGTTCCTTCACTCAGGGTGCACAGCTGTGGCTGGTCAGTGAGTCCCTGCTAGAGTCCAGATTCTGCGATTTCGGCCAGCTGACTTAACAGCTGGGAGAACGGTGGCCGGTCTTCTGGTTTCTGGAGAGTAACAAAGAGATTTCTGTGAGTTCTTTATGCCTGTGTGTCCTGGCTAAGTGCAAAGCAGACTGGAATCCAATAGCAGCATCTGTTCTAAAATCTTCCTACACAGGCTGTCTTGGAGACAGGATGCCCTTACTGTCCATAATGGAGAGTCTGAGAATCTATTACATTCTCAGCCTCTTTTTCTTCTTCTTTTTGGAGTATCAAAGCCAGAGCCTTGACACATAACACGAGTTACAGCCCTAGACACTTAAATCTCAGCTCTCACATTTGTTAGTTGTGTGGTACTGGACAGATGACTAACCCTCTCTGAACATCTGTAAAAAGGAGATAAATATAACTCATAAGATTGCTTTGAGAATTAAATCATGCATAAAATGAATCCTAACATTCTAACATTATTGTTAAATAACAAAACAGGAAACATTTATTTTTAAAGCTCACAGAGTATGTGTGGGATATAAATGAGGAAAATATAAAACTCTGATAAATCTGTTGTCATTTCTTTACAACTTCACCTATAGATTCAATGTAATGTGAACCAAACCTCCCAGCAAGTGATTTTGTGGGGTCAATGAGCTGACTCTGAAACACATAAGGAAAGGCAAAAACTAATACAATGAAGACAAAGAAAAACAGACTTGGGGGATTGATACATACCACCCAAACTCAGGGCTTACTCTGAAGTTAGAGTATTTATGGTAGTGTGACACTGGTGAAAAGATAAACAGTGGATCAGGAGGACAGAACAGAGGGCTGAGAAACAGACCCTGAACACAGCAAGCAGACAATGGAAAGACTTAGAGACAACAACGGTGCTGTAATGGAGCACCCCTGTAGGAACCAGCAATTTGAGCAGCAGACTTAGGCTGCTCACAAAAAGTAGACCCTAGTCTATCATAGACCTAAACACAAAAAGTGAAACTGTAAGACAAATGGTTTGAAGAGGGAAATGGGTGAAATGGGGGAGGCAGCCTTGATTGGTGATGGGGGGGAGGTCAATAACAGTAAGAGTGACAGTGATTAACACTAAGGATGTCTGGAAAAAGCCATCAGTAATCATATTATTTATTTACCTAAAATTATATTCAACATATATAAGTCTCTACATATACATATATAGTTTAAAGGAAATTATGTCACTTGGTTTGACAATACTCACCCCACCCCTCCACTCCCATGAGCCATGGACTATCTAACAGAAACCCAAATACCAGGCATGAGAAACTCCCTTTAGAGTTGCTGGTTATGGGAGTCCAAGAGACTTCCCAAACAATATAGACTTCTTGTTGCCCTTGAGGTTGAAGGCAAGTGCCTGTTGCTGAAGACATCATGCCCTTTGGATATATGACCTTGAGAAGCCAAGCAGGACTTGACTTAAAAGCCTCCTCTCTTAGGACTAGCCTTCATTATATTGAGGGTACTATGCAATCTTCCAATGGAGGAAAGCAACTGACAATCCTACCCAGCTGTGATGCCTATAAACCACAACTTTCAGCATGGTACCATAACCCTAAGGATGCAATAATGGCACTCATAACTTGGCAGTAACCACTGGTTCTCCTATTAGACTTAAAGACTACTCAATAGGAGGGTATCATGTCTGGTACTGTAAACTAACCCAACTACATGGGGCTAGTGAGATCATAGACCTTAGAGAAGAACCTAGTACTGCCACTTTATTAAACCAGCCGAATTCCTAACTGCATTCTAAATATCTATCTTTATATCCACAGATAATTATAGCTTTCACTCCTCACAGAAACCAAAACCAGAACCATCTGTTTGCAACAGATGGAGGCCATTACAGAAACCCATAAGTGGTCAAATGCAGGGGACTAGTGTATAGCCCTAACTAACACACCCATAACACAACTAAGGAACATTGTGGATTGGGATCCGTAAGAGCCAGAGGAACAGGAAATATGTTATGAGATTGTCTCTTAGAAATGCAGGGAAACTTTATCCATGACACCTCAATAGTATGGATGCCTAAACAAGATCTGGAGAAATCCAACACTTATAAACATGATATGATAACATGGAAGGCAGAAATCTCACAAGACCCCACCCTTAGACTGGGAACCACAGGCAATTAGGGGATACCAAGAGTGGGAGAATGAGTCCCATAAGTGGTTTTCCAAGACCACCTGGTCATCCCTGAAATTGTATATATACTAGTAGCATTAAGTAGGACATGTAGGTTTTGTTTGCATATTTATGCACACTTGTATGTGAATGTAGCAATCATAATTAAAAGGAGGCCATAATTTTGAGAGTGAGAAAATAAGGAGGCATGGAAAGGACTGGAGGGAGGAAAGGGAAGGAGAAATATGACATAATTACACTTTAATTAAAAAATACAAAATTAATAAAATTAAATTTCCATGATATCATCTTGGAAGAGATCTGGGCTTTGTGATGAGTTGTTAGCTACAACTTCAAAGGCAATTCATGGAGAAAATGATGCTTAACTGTTGTGTGATATCTTGTTTGTGTTATGGAGATTAGAGGGAAGGGCTAAACACTAGTTAACCATAGAAATTGGGCAGTGGTGGCTCACACCTTAAACACCTCACTTGGGAGGTCGAGACAGGAAGTGATAAGGTGGGGGGGAGACAGGATCTCACCCTTTTTGGATGAATGAACGAGACAGATAGGAAGCAACTGGTGGCTACTCTTGGTTCTCTGATCTTCCAGTTTTTCCCCTGATATCTGACTCCTGAGTTTTATTCATTAGAATAATTAGATTAATGCCCTTCTGAGTTTTGTTAAAATTAGAAAACTTCTGTTCTGTAAGAGACACTGTCAAGAGGGTCAGTGAGATGGTTCAGCAGGCAAAGGCACTTTCCACCAAGCCTGACAACCTGAGTTCAATCCCTGGGACCCACAGGTTCAACTCCTGAAAGGTGTCCTCTGGCCTCCATAGGCACATACTAACAGTGTAAGTTCTCTCCTCCATTCCTGTATACATGTGTACACAAAATAAATAGAAAATTAATTTAAATTATATTAATAAGGGCTGAAGATATGGATGAAGGGTTAGGAGCACTTGCTGGGATCTGGGTTCGATTCTCAGCACCCACATAGCTGCTCACAATAATCTCTGACTGCACTCCCAGGAGATCTGATGCCCACTTCTGTCCTCTATGGAAACTATGTGCATATGGTGCACAGTCACATCCGTAATTTTTTAAATAAAAAATTATAGAAATTATTAAGACAATGAAAAATAAACTGTAGGCCTGGAGAAAATATTTGCAAAATATATAATGACAAGGAACCTTTTAAAACCAAATACAGGAAATAAACAACCCTGGTAAATGGTGAGCAAATGATCTGAGCAGGCGTTTCATTAAGAATATTAGAGGTGGGAAATAACCATAAAATGATGTTCAACATGGCAAGCCATTAAGGAAATATCAACTCAGACAGCAGGAAATACAATTCATCTCTTCTCTGTAAGAAGGGTGGATGTCCAACATGACCAGTACTGATGGATATAAGAAGCATCAGGACTGAGTTTGGTGGCACATATCTTTAATCCATTCCCTTGAAAGGCAGAAGCAGAGGCAGGTAGATCTGTGTGAGTTCAAGGTCAGCTGAGTCTATATAGTGAGTTCCAGGACAGCAAGGGCTATATAGCAGCAAACAACAGAAAACAGAACAGAACAGAACAGAACAGAACAGAACAGAACAGAACAGAACAGAACAGAACAGAACAGAACAGAACAGAACAGAACATAAAGCACCAGAAACACTCATCCCTGGTAAGACTTGCAAAAAGACTTAGGAAGACAACGTGACAGTGTTTCACAAAACTAACATAGCCTTACCATTTGTTCTAGCAGCCACTCCTAGGCATTTACCCATAAATGAAAATTTATGTCCACACATAAATGGGTCCATTTGCAGTAAACATTTATAGCAGATTTAGCATAATTACAGCATAATTGCTGGAAGCAAAAACTACTAAAATTTCCTTCAATAACCACATGAATAAACAAGCTATGATATATCCATACAATGGAGTATTAGTCAACAATAAAAAATAAGTAAATAATAAAAATCAAGAAAACACACAAAACAACATTAAATGCATATTGCTAGCAGAAAGAGGCTAGTCTGAAAAGGCTACAACTGTATGATTCAAACCTTGAGGCATTCTAGAAAAGGCAAAACTATGGTGAAAGTAAAAGAATCAATAGTTTTCAGGGTTTTGGGGAGTGAAGGCAGAGACAAACAGAGGCATAGGAGATTTTTTAGGACAGTGAAACTATTCTATTTGATTCTATAATGGAAGATACATGGCATTATGTGTTTGTCAAAATCCACTGAATACAGCAGTACCAAAAGTGGACCTTAATGTAATCTATGAACTTTGGTCAACAACAATGTATCAGCAGGTGTTTCTTTAAAAATGTTTGAAATGAACCAAATTCTTATAAAGTGCTAATAAGGCAAAGTAAACTGAGGTGGAAGGGAAATACTTGTACTGTTTGCTCAAGTTTTCTATATACACAGAATTCTAAATTCTGTTAGAAAAAAATAAAAAAGATACTTCTTAGGGCAGCCCTTACCCACACTCTTGGGTGTGTCCTGAGAACTCTCTTTTCCATGTAACATGTGTGCATAAGGTCTACATTAAACTGTCTTTTAATGAATTCTGCTTCATGAAAAATAGCTAAAAGAGGCCGGGCAGTGGTGGTGCATGCCTTTAAGGCCAACCTCAGGAGGCAAAGGCAGGCAGATCTCTGAGTTTGAGGCCACCCTGGTCTACATAGCAAGTTCCAGGACAGCCAAGGGTACACAGAAAAATCCTGTCTCGAAACAGCCCCCCCAAAAAACAGCAAAAAATGTCATTGTCAAATAAATATCAGCTACAATATATTATTCTTTCAGTATTCATGAATAAGATTTGTTTTGTGTTCCTGTTTATATCTTTATTTCTTTGTTTCTCATTATAAATTCTCTGTGAAATTATAGGTTAAGCATTATTTGCTTTGTAAGTCTACGAAAGGAGGTTCAGAGAAATGTTCATGTTTAAACAAACAAACAAAAAACCTGTTAGGACTGAGATTGTACTTGAGTCTACTAGACTTTTTGAGATTCTGCCTTGTTGTTCTGCAATAATCTGAGGGTCTTTAAAAGAGATTATTCCACTACTTATGGGTACATGTTCAAAACAAATGATGTCAATATATTAAATAAATACATGTTTGCCAGTGTTTTTGGTGGCATATTTCACAATAGCACATTTCACAATATCTGTCAACTTAGGTACCCATCAAGAGAACTTTAGTCAGCACAATCAACAGATAAGGTAAAAGGTAAACACACACTCGATGATATGGAGTGGGAAACCATCTCACGTACTGACCTCCTTCCAACAATGATTCATGACCTGGTAGACGTGACTGGAGGCCAGGCGGGGCTTGTACAACCGAAAGCCAGTGCTGATGTCTTCCACGACCTCTGAGTTGCTTCGGTTTTCATATGGGATTTTACCTTCACTGAAGACTTCCCACATTAGCACACCTAGAAGCAACAGTGAGCAGAACAGCAGCTAAGGGCAAAGTGCACAAGTACCAAAGAGACTCTTCTACAAAAAATGGAGTCCTTGGAATTAGCATCCAAGCCATCCTGTAGACCTCTACAAGTACAGTATCTGGCCTGCTGGAGGCTTATAGGGCTGTCTTAATTTTTTTTTTCATTGATAACTGTTCCATTTTAAAGGATTTATTTTTATTATGTGTATGTTGCTATGAATGTATGCCATGTGTGTGCAGATGCTTGGGGAGTCTAGAAGAGGTCACCAGATCTTCTGCAGAGATTGTGAGGTACATATGAAATTAATTTATGACTAGACTTTGGTTTAGTTTTCAAGCTCTCTCCCTCGACTCCTCTCTCTCCATAGCTATAAATACATATACATATATAGAAATACTTCGAATCTAAAGTCTAAGCCATTTTTGGTGTTAGGCATTTCATATGTGGAATCTTAATTTGTACTGTAGGGACTGAGGAGAACATTCTGGTAGTATGTTTCCCCACTTCTGCCATTCACAGGGAGGCTGTCCTGGCTTTGTCTTTATTATGTACTGACAGATCACAGCCTCCCAGAAAAGAAGGGAAGTTGGTGACACCCTAACAAGAGCTTTGCAAAGGGTAAGTCCAGAGGATTGTAGGAATGTTTCCCAAAGTCTGATTCCCAAACATGCAAATAAGAATCAGCCCCCAAACTTGTTTGAGTGGCAGACATCTGAACCCCATCCTAAAACCCTCCTCCTGGGGTCACTATCATACAGGAATCTCTGAGGTGCCCGAGGACCTGAAAAATCAGACTCTGAGTATGAAGAAGACTGCTCAGTAGTCCAAGACGCCAAGATTTCTAATGAGACATCTTTTGAAAGTAAGTTGTTATTGGTGCTGAAACAGTTTGGCATGTACCACTTTAATATGAGCCATCTGAAGCATGGATAAAGCAGAGTTCACACAGGCTACTGACTTGTTCAAGAAGCCAATTAGGGTAAAAACGAGACTTTATTTATGACAAAGTCTGATGGGCTAAGGCAGACAGGAGGCTCTCAGGCTGCAGGTTGCTCAGATTTGCACGCTGCTACTGGTTTCTTTTCTCTCCCTCCCTCCCTCCTTCCGTCCCTCCCTCCCTTTCCTTCTCTTCTCCTTTCTTCCTTTCTTTTTCCTCCCCCGCCCCCCGAAACAGGGTTTCTCTATGTGACCCTGGCTGTCTTGGAACTTACTCTGTAGACCAGGCTGGACTTGAATTCAGAAATTTGCTTGCCTCTGCCTCTGGGGAGCTGAGACTAAAGGTGTGCACCACCATGTCCAGCTGTGGCTGTTTCTGCTCTTCATCTATGTCTATCAACCTCATTTCCAAACTGCCTTCAAACCATACATCTCAGGAAGGGATGCATTTTACATAAATCTTCTGGAGAATAGCAGAAATTTTCTGGCTGACATACTATGATGTCATAGACTACATTCTGCAGGTGGAGGTACAGGTATGGCTACCATTCTGAACATCTTTGTGAGGCTCTGCCTTGCCAGTGTCTATAACTCCATTACCCATAGAGTGATGGCCACATACTGGCCTTAGCCATCCTCAATACTTGTGGACAGTTGTGCAAAGATGATGCCAGAACAATTTTCTCCTAAATTCATTCTGTAACTTGTACCCAGTTAACAGAGTAACAGCCAAGCCTGGAGGTGGGACAGAATTAAGGAACAGATGAGAAAGGTTCATAATTAACAGGTTCTGGGCTCTTGGGAATGGGCATTCTACAGTGTGAAGAAAATCCTATCACTGGTCTTATCCTATGATATCCAATTGGCCAGTATCTCCCTTGCTTTGTGCCCTAGTAAACCTTTCCTACAGAATGGCAAGGTCAATCTGAATCAGTTTATCTCCAAAGTCCCCTCTTTATGGTTATTATCATATCACAGAGGTTGTTTGGTATATTTTCATTTACACTGATACATGCACAAATTATGACTTAGGCTGACATCAAACCCAGCAAGTCACTTAGCCTTTCCCATATGCTGACTCCATCCATCCATCCATCCATCCATCCATCCATCCATCCATCCATCCATCATAGCCCACCAACTGTAACTGCCTTTGTTCTCCCTCTAACTCAGTGACTCCTGTTCTCTGGACACAGCTGAGCTTGTACACTTTTTGATTCCTGTCAGGGACACAGCTCACCATGAATATTTGAATAAAGACATCTGTCCAAGAAGTACCTCCTAGAAAGGCCTTTCCAGACCATACTAGCTAAAACAGACCCCTCTTCCACCTGTACCATTGGTGTTTTGTTTGATTCATAGCACTAACTGATCCAAACCTGACTGAATTTTCTATCTGCTAGCTTGTGTGATAGTTGTCTCTCTCCTCCAAAATTTAGCTTCAAGAGGACAGATGTCTCTTTTGCCCTGTGCCCTCCTGCTCCTCAGCACCTTGAGTAGCCCTGGAATATAACAGACACTCAGTAAACCACTTTCGAGGAACATGCTTACTGAGGACTAAGTATGGGAATGTGATGTTGGACACAGCATGGTCCCACTTCACATTCTAATCCCCTGACTCCTCTAGCTTTCTAGCTCAAGGAAGTGACCACAAGACTCTTCCCCACCCTGATCTTTAAGTTCTTAGCTGTTTCAAAGATCTCTAGAAACAAATGCAATAATAACAGCCCCTTCAAACATTTCAGGCTGATCCCATACAGGCTCTCAGTGGGTTATTTCTCCATTCAGGGGTCAGAACAAAGTAGACTGTTTGCATCTGAGGAAGAAATAGCTGGTCCACGGTTCCAGATCGCACAGGGGTGGGCTAAGGATGACACTCACCAAATGACCACACATCTGACTTGCTGCTATAGCGACTGAAAGAGAACACTTCTGGGGATGCCCACTTCACTGGAAACTTGGTGCCAGTGGAGCTGGTATACTGATCATCAAGGACGAACCTGGGAAGAGGTGAGGAAGAGGTCAAAACATTCCAGGGTTGAGTGACATTCTTCAGAATCTACTGATGCCACATCCCTGTGTTACCTTGTCATCCCGAAGTCAGACACCTTGATGACTTGGTTTTCTCCCACCAAACAGTTTCTGGCAGCCTAGAGGACAGACAGGTAGGCAAAGGAGAAATGAAGCCATAGGTGGTCAGTCAGTAGTGGAAGAGTCTCCCACTATTAGTGTTTGCTGGGCTCTGCAGGCCTGAGGGAGGTCAAGCATCTCCAGAACCCTGCTGAGCTAGCAGGAAATTCAGCCAGCTAGCTGAACTTGCAAGCCCCTTTCCCAGGATGAGGAATTTATCGTCATTCTTGATCCTAATTATTAGAGAACTCCAGTGTTGTTCAGCCAGTGACTCACTGGAATTCAGTCTGACATGGTAGGCAATGCTGACTTGGGCTGACTGCAATGTCTCCCTAGTGATTAGTATGAAAGTGTTCAGAAGCTAATCCTCTTAAAATTACCCTAAACAGGGGGAGTACCGGCCACTCTCAGTATCCCAGAAGGCTTGGAAAAGCCCTGGGAGATATGAATATTCATTAACTCTCACCATCAGAGGTTCCTAGGCTGTCTCTCAGATTATTTAGTGAAATTTCAGTAGAAAAACTGTGTTTCAGCCCAAGTGCCCATCAGTGAGAGAAGGGGTAAAGAAAAGTTGGTGTGTGTAGCCCGGGGGGTGGGTGGTGGGATTTATTTAGCCATAAGGAGGAATGAAATGAAGTTAGTGGCTGGAAAGTGGGACAAAACTGAGGGTCATCAGGTTATAGCTCCCCGTAAGGACAAACTGCAGGTGTGTTTTATCTCATGCATGGGATCTAGATGGAGAAATAAATAAAACGGGCAGGTAGAAGTGGAGCTGTTTGTGAGGAAGGGATTCAGTGAGATCAGGGACAAAATACAGTACAGGATAGCTGAGTATGATCAAAGCATATGATACACACAGGGGAAGTCATATGTGATCCCATTACTTTCTACAGTTAACACATGCAGTCAATATGTTTTACAAAGTAAGACTGTCCTTGCCCATTTCCTTCATTTTTCCAGGGGGAAACTGAGGCACAGAGAGGCTAATGAGGAGTGATTCTAAGCTCCACTTTGGAAGAACATGAACTGAAACTCAAATCCAAGCACTTGAGAGGTGGAGGCAGATGGATCTCAGTGAGTTCGAGGCCGGCCTGGTCATTGGAATGAATTCCAGAATAGCCAGGTCTGTTACACAAAGAAACCCTGTTTCAAAAAACAAAAAAAGCAGACAAGCAAAAAAGGGCTAGGGTGTACTTCAGCTCTGAGTACTCCTAAAACGCTTCCCTATCATGGACCTCTTGAAGTGACCGGAATAAGAAGCTGAGAGGAGGAAAGGCCACAGGGGGCATGTCACTTATTGACACTCTCTCAGTCTTGGTAGTGCTACATTTCAGGGGAAGATGTTCCTTTGTCTGTACTTGCAGGCATTGGCCCCAGGCACTTGATCATACCAGGTCTCTGTGGATGACACAGGCCTTTTCCAGGTAGGTCATTCCCTCGCACACATCCAGGCACATGCCCAGCAGGGTCTCTGCAGCAAAGAGTCCCCGTTGACTTCTCAGGTAATCTGACAGGCAGCCATGTTCCATGAACTCAAACACTAGGCAGATGGGGGCTTGCTCCAGGCACACTCCATAGAGCTGTACAAGTTTGGGATGACAGAGTTTCCTGGAAGAAAAAGGCAAGAAATAAGATGACCTAAATTCAGTCTTCTAAAAGTGTTGAACACATTATGGCACTAAGGTAGATGAGAGTCACTTCACCCAGCTCATGGTTCTGAGGACAAAACCAGATCCCAAACCCAAACCAAAGACAGTCATGGAGTCAAGGTCTGAGATAGCAGGGAGTCAGCTGGTATGAATGAAGGTGGATAAAGGCCAGTGTGGGCCAGAGGAGAGATGGGGGAAGAGGAGACTGGAGGGCCAGACCACATAGCAGGTCCTCTAGATCATGCTGAAGTGCACCCCCCACATGCATGTGTGCGTGCATGTGTACATGCAAGTATGTGTGTGTGTCCATGTGTGCATGCATGTGTGTGTGCATGTGTGTGTGCATGCATGCGTACATGCATATGTGTGCACGTGTGCATGTGCGTGTATGCGTGTGTGTGCGCATGTGAGTGTATGTATGTGTGTGCATGTGTGTGCATGTGTGCATGTATGTGCTTTTGTGTGTGCTTGTGCACATGTGCATGTATGTGTGTGCATGTGCATACATGTGTGCATATGTGTGTGTGCACGCGTATGTGTGCACATGTGTGCATGCCTGCATGTGTGTGTGCGTGCATGTATATGTGTATGTGTGTGGTGTGTGTGTGTGTAGGACAAGGGTCAACAATGGGTGTTCTTGTGACACTGTCAACCTTTTCTTTCTAAAATTTTTTTCTGTTTTTGAAAATAGATCTTTTTCTCACATAATATCCTGATTATAGTTTCCCCTCCTCTACTCCTCCCTGTTCTTTTCCTCCCTTCCCACCTGGGTCCACTCCCTTTCTGTCTTTCACTAGGGGATAATACAAAAACTAACAGTAGAGTTGGACAAGACACAAACAGAAAGGAAAGGGCCAAGCAAAGGCACAAGAATCAGAGACCTTGCGTTCACACACCCAGGAGTCCCATAGAAACACTGAAGTGGAAGCCACAGTATACATGCAGAGGATGTGGTGCAGACTCATGCAGGCCCCATTCTGTGAGCTTTGCTCACACTGGTTTAGAGGGCCTTGTTTTCTTTTTATGGCACCAGTATGTATGTGTACTGTGTGTGCCTTCCGATTTCTTAGAACTGTAGTTACAGATGGTTGTGAGCTACAAGTGCTCTTAACCACTAAGTCTTCTCTCCAGCACCCACCTTTGCAGTTTTTGAAAAAGGATCTCATTGCACTGGAACCAGCCAAGCAAATAATAAGCCCAGGATCTGCCTGTCTCCAGCTCCCCAGCATTGGGACTCCTAGTAAAGCCACCATGCCCAGACTGTTTTTAGTGGTTGCACTTCACCAACTGAGCCCTAATGAGGTGACTTCCTTTTTTCTCTGCCTGTGCAATAGGTTCTACTACTGGGGCATAACAAACATCAGAGTGGAGCTTGATGAACACAGCCCAGAGCCTCCCTACCCAGGATGCCTGCACACCCCTGCTTTAACTCACATCATGACCTCGGCCTCTTCAATAAAATCCTCTTCTGACATTGCTCCTTCCTGAATGGTCTTGATGGCCACCTTGTCCTTGTTGAGCCAGTAACCCAGGTGCACCAGTCCAAATTGCCCACTGCCAATCTCCTGCACAAACGTTAGTTCTGAGGGGTGGATCACCCACTTCCCTGGAACAGAGAAAGAGAGGGTAATTAATAAGGTATAGGACTCTCAGAAATATATACAATTCTATCTAGCCTATGGCTACTATAACTCAAAAATGGCTTAGACTGATACAGGTAATTACTGTAACATAGGGTATGTTTTTTGAAACTGTCATAATGTGGGAGGGGGGCATGGGAAGAAAAGGAAGATGATGTAAAGTATGACAGAGAATACAAATAAAAGAATTGTTATGAGGTCCAAAACTTTTTAACTTAATTTTATATTTTTAGGCATATTTTTTTTCTCTTGAGACAAAGTCTTACAGAGTCTTATTATGTAGCTCAGGCTGGCCAGTAACTCACCATCTAGCCCAGACTGGCTTCAAACTTGTAATCCTACTGCCTCAGTCTCCAGAGTATACAGAGGCTTGCAAATACCATACCTATACTTTTATTTCCAGTTTTGCAATGTTCATTAATTCACTGAGAGTCTCTCTGTACTCATGGTACTCTACCAAGCTTGGACCAGAATGGAGCCTGAAAAAGTGGCTTCAGAGGGGACTTACACAGAGGCACAAGGGAGCTATTTCTAGTAGGTCTCTTTTTCCATAAAGATTTTTTTTATTTATTCCTTATGTGTATGTGTGTATGTCTGTAAGGCACACGGATGCAGGTACCGGCAGACGCCAGAAAAGGTACTAGATCTCCTGGAGTGAGGTTATAAGTGGTTGTGAGCCACCAGATGTGGGTGCTGGGAAACGCACTTGGCTCCTCTGGAAGAACTCTAAGCACTACTAACTTCCCAGCCATGTCTCTAGGCTCAGGGCAGGCTCATGATAAGTGTTTGATAAACAAGCAAAAGGACCTAGGCCTCGATTTTCCAACTGATAAAGTAAATGGGCTGACCGAATAATCTCTGTGATCCCATCCAGCAGGGCACTTTAGGATTCAGCAACACTAGAATAGCTTTACTTTCAGGAGGAGGATAATGCATTATTCTTTCCTGATGTCTGGCCTAGAAACAGCCAGGTGCCTATCAACCTGAACAGACAGCACTGAGTAGCCCCAGTGTGCCACAGATGCTGCTGGCTGGATAGGAACAGTCCACAGCAGTGCTTCTCCAAGTATTTCCCTGCCATCTGGGTCAGAACTACCAGGCTGCTTATTTATAATGTAGAGCCTAAGGCCACACTCTCAGGGAGTGTTTTGGTAAGCAGCAGAGAGTGTCCTGGAACCAGCATTTTTGATAAATGTTTGGGAAGACTGGGATGCACACTGACGTGTGAGAACTACCAAAGGGTACAAAATGAAGCTTAGATTAGTCCCCTTTGCAAACAGCACATTTTGACCAAGGGACTCGAACTGAAATGCTTTTAGGTTCTATGTAGATAGTCAAGGAGGGAAGCCATTTTGGAGGACAGACATCAATAGGACCGTGGCCCTGGAGGTACAGGCCCTAATTAAAAGCATTAAGCAAACATTTTTTTTCCTGATGCTGGGATTGAACTCAGGACCTGACTCATGCCAGACAAGTACTCTGCAACTGAATTAAAGGACCAGATCTCAAAATTTAACATTATACTATATAAATACTTCTAGATGCGGATACCTAACCCTTCAGAAGACCCAAACCCAGCAAGTTAGATTATAACAAAATTTCCCAAAGGTAGATAAAACACAGTGCCAAGGGTTTGTTTCCCAACAACATTTAGTGGAGCGCTCTGTATAAAGTAGACACTCAATAAATGTGTCGTCAATGAGCCTTTCTTTAAAGCCAGGGAACACTGATTTGGTCTTCACTGTTGTGTATGGACACACACATTTCATACACAACTGCATATGATCATTATCCTACCATCTCTCCAAGTTATCTCAAGCCTGGAAAACAGATAAGCTAATGGCAAATCCTCTTAGAATTTGTCCTAGACACTTAAGTATGGGTGTTTTAGCTCAAATTCCTATTTTCTGCTTACCATATCTTAGCCCTGCAGTCACTGGGGCTTTTTGTCTCCAGGAGCATACTGGATACCGGAGTCGAGTGACCAAGCCTAGGTTGACAGAAAAGTCAAATCTGTGGTTAGGGCTTTGCTACAGCAACTGGCTAGGTTAAATAATCAGGAAAAGAATGATACGTGAAACACCTGTTTTCAAATTTCAAAGTTTTACCATGGTTTTCACACAGCTCTTGAGAGGATTCTTAAGCACATGGTGGATAATGACCTTGGGATGTGCAGAGCAGATGTTTCTGGTGACAGGCTGGGGGGGGGTGTCCTAGGGATTTAGAAATTTGTTTGCTTCTGTTTTTGTTTTTATTTGCATTTTGAAATGCTAGTTAATGGCCAGCTTGTGCAGCATGAAGAACCAGGTAGGAACTATGTAATTTCTTCTCTAGTTTCTTTGTGAGAGTCCCCTTCTGGCGCTGTCCCCTAAAACTTACCTCCTCCATTGTACTGATGATACTTGATGAGGAGAGGGATGGAGTCAAACACATACTTCTCAGCCACATAGTATCGCTTGGGGTTGTCATTTGTTTCTTTGATATGGTAATGTTTTATACAGGGGTTCTCACTTGAAACAAATGAACACAACACACAGTCATCACCAAGAAGCAACACTGACATATAAAGACATCAATTGGCATCAGAATCTCACTGTCTTGGTATGGAAGCTCCTGCCAGGAGGACAGGCACACGATATTTTAGCGTGTGTATCAGTCTAGGCAGGCTGGCACTGGTGCTGATGTATATTAAGAAAGACTTCAAGGCTGCATCTGGACATGAGAGGCAACGGTGCTGACGTGTGTTGGTGTTTGTAATGCTTCACCCACAGCCACAAAATGAGGGAGCAGCACTGTACGTGTTATGAGTACAAATGGAAACCACACAGGGGTCTTCCAGCCCACCCCAGACTGAATTGCTTTCATCAAGCAAATTGATGATATATGCTGGTAAAGTGTGTGTGTGTGTGTGTGTGTGTGTGTGTGTGTGTGTGTGTGTGTGTGTTTGGGAGAACCCTCCTGATGGGAATGCAAACTAGTGCAGCTGCCATGAAAATTGGTATGGAGGTTTCTCAGAAACTAGATAGAACTACCATATGCTCCAATTATACCACTCTTGGGGGGGTGGTGTACTGGAAGCATTCTGAGCCAGAATAGCATAGGGACTTCTAACCATGCATGTTTATGGTCTCACTATTTACACAATGGAATTTTATTTAGCTGTAAAAAAGGAGAAATTAGAATATTCACAAGTAAATAGATGGAATTGGAAATTATTATGTTAAGCAAAATAATCCAGATTCAGAAAGACAAACATTAAGTGCTTTCTTTCAAATTGGAATCTAGTCATAAAACACTCACATGCACACACATGCCCCTGGCACACAGGGCTCTCAATATGGTAGGCAGTTTCACTAGCAGACCAAGAATTGGCATTTGTCTATCTCCTCTTCTAGATGACAATGCTTTCTTGCACTTCTCATGTTAACTGACAGGCTCACCAAATATAGGGGCAAGTATTTTGACATCTTCAGAGCTCTGCCATCAGGCCTGGCCATAGCCAAGAAGAGGACCCAGTGTCCACTCAGCACTGTCTTTTATTAAATCTTTTCAGTTCTGCCCTTGAACTCTGGGCTTTTATTTTGACAGGGGCCCTGCTAGAGAGGCTCTGCAGGATGCACAGGTGGACCTTGCTATCACACAAAAGCAGCTGTCCCTGGTCCTCTGAGCCAAGAGAATGCCATACCTTATGATGGCCTTGGTGAACACAGAGACTGTGTACGTCCCGGGTATCCTGGAATCTCGGACCAGGAAAGCTCCTTCTTTACCCTGGATTGGGGAGAAAGCGTGAAAGTTTAGTAATCTAACCCAGGCTCCTGTACCAGGCTCCAGGTTCTTGCTTGTGGAAGGAGGAAGCACTGAGTGGCACAGAGCAGGCTTTTCCTTGTAACAGCTACCATTTCAACTACACATTTGACAATTGTTCATGAAAAGTCCTAAACAGAGGTAGACACGGGCCCTCCCCTTTACTATTCACCAAGCACCGGACTGGACTCATCAGACACTTCCCAACCCTCCTCACAATGGAGTCTGGACACCATTATCCCCTTTGACAACAAGGACAGCAGAAGTGAGTGTCAGAGGGAGTAAGTGGTTTTTCCCAGGGTCTACAGCTAGTGAGCAGTGGGGCTGGAGTTTGAGATTTGGCACCCTAGCAAATTCCAGGACCTTTTCTTGCCCCATGATGCTCCAGATCTTCTATACCTGTTCAGGGACACAAAACTCATCCTGAAAGCTTCTTGAGTTCCTGGGTTGGGCTTTATTTGTCTGGCCCCTCCCACAATGCTGATTTCACTGTTGGGCAGAAGAGAGGGTGGGAGGTGAATGCTGGGAGAGAGGTGGGGAGAGGGGAGTACCTGACAATTTTGCCTGCTCTGATGGACTCAGCAGAAGCAATGGACATGCCAGTTCCTACAGTCCTGATGGGGACTGTAGAATCTGAACTGTTTCCAGAACTGCATCCCCAGCTCTTCTACCAGTTGTAAACATCTGCAGAGCTTGGTAATTATGACTTACTTATATTAGACATCTTGAGGGCCACAAGTGAAGGTCAGAATTGGACAGGAACCTTATATGGAAGCCATATGGCTTATATATACAAGGAAAGCAGATAACGGAAGTTCCTCCCCCCATCCTTCAGTCTCGAGAGTTTCTGCATGAGCACTTGAACACATACATACTCAGAGACAGAGAGAAAGAGAGAGAGGAGAGAAAGAGACAGAGAGAGAGAGAGAAAGAGAGGGAGAGAAAGTGAGTGAGACAGAGAGGAGAGAAAGAGAGAGACAGAGGGAAAAAGAGAGAGAAACACACGCTCACACACACACACACACACACACACACACACACACACACAGCGCTGATATGCATTCTAGTAAGCAGTTGGACTACAGATTTGCCTATTGTAGACTTTTTTTTTTTGTAAATGGAATCATATGTGGTTTTCTGTGAGTCCTTTCATTTATAACATTGTTTCCAGGGACCACCTAGGTGGTGACAGGTATAAAGACCTTACTCCTACTTGTGGCTGAGTGACATTCCACTGTAGGGATAGACCACACTTGTTTTCTATATCAGCTGATAGTCACCTTCTGGCTGCTGGATTTTTCGCTCGACAGGTTTTTTTTTTTAATGGTATTATTCACACATGGTAGGTGGGATAAATTGTCTTCAATTTTGACATTTGCCTAGTAATGCAGCTTTGGATTGTGGCTGTTTGGAATGTGATGGGTTAAACCTGAGACAGGAAGAAACAGACTTCAAGCAGAGGCAGATTTTATCTGGTTAAGTCATTTATTCTAAAGGAAGAAACACAGAGGAAGCAGCAGAAGCTCACCAACTATCTGAAGGGTGTAAACACCTCTTACCTAACTAATACTATCTGATTGTTTGTGTTGGTGTTACTCTTTCAAAGGAGTGACTGTTTTTCTGTAAACAAGCTGTGATTATAGCAGCCCTCAGCTGTTATGGAGAGTAAGCACTCTATAAACACAAGGTGAGGGAGAGGGTAGGGTCGAGGTCAGGTCTGTAGAGCATGGTAGGCTCTGCATCCCCCAAAGGCTTTCCTTCTCCATTGCAGTCGCTGTGGGTGGCATTTGGTGAAAGCCACATGGACTATCATTTGAGCTGAAGCAGCTAAGAGTTTGGAGGAAAGCACATGCCTTACCACACACTTCCTGCAGGGAGCTGAGAGGTAGCCACAGCCACACAAATACCCAAGAGGGTTGCAGGGGGCACTGACTTGTAATGTTGCCAGATGGGGCTTTATTTCCTCTTGACACAACCAAGATCTCAGTGTGAAAGATTATGTCAAGAGGTGAAGTATGTGTGTGGTACGCATGGAGTGGGAGAAAACAATAACTCGTGTACTTCCTTATACTATCTGTCTATTTGAAGATATGCCCTTGCTGTGGTGGGGATAGGCCACTGATTCACTTTCTGAATGTGGCCCCAGTCTATCAGTCTTTAATACATAGGAGATGGACCAGATGGTCTTTGAAGGAACTTCTAGCTACAACAGCTTATGGTATTGTTAATTCCAGATGTTTCTTTTTAAAAGTATATATGTCAGTTTTCTCATCTTGAAAAATGAACTTTCCAAGACACTTGGGAGACTCGAGTACTAAGCACAGAATAGGTCCTGGAATACAATTCCAGGACAAGCACTATTAGGGTTATTAGTTCCCATTATTATCACATACTATGGTGTATCATCTGTTGGAAACATGAAATACATTGTCCATCTTCAACTGAGACATGTTTCAGCCTGTATGTTCATATGCTTTGAAGGTGACTTTGTAGAAGGTAATCTCAAAACAAAGGTATGTTATCATCAAAGACAGGTTGAAGCTTTGTGGGCTTGTCATGCTGAAGTATGATTTAAGAATGTCTCTGACATATATCATTCTGTGGGGGCTCTTCCCTCAAAATGAATCTGTTATTAAGTCAACACTGCATCTTGGATGCCATCTCAGAGTCACAGATAAACCTAGGTTAGGATCCTGTCTAAAGTGTGGGTCACCCAAAGTGTGAGATGCTGCCTCATGCATGAAGACAGTTATGAAATACCTGCTCACAAGGAACTGACCCTCTCTCTAGATGCTGAGACTGAAGGTAGAGTGCAGACAGAACCACTGGAGAGGGGACATTGTAACTTAATGTCCAATCAAGAGAAAAAAGTTATGTCTCACAGCCGGGCAGAGGACTGTACTATAAAGGAGGTGTCTGTCAGCTGAAGATTTGACAGAACATGCAGGAGATTCTTTCCCATGTTCCTAAGCTAATGTAGGTCATATAACCACTTGAGTGTCCCTGGAGAGGTTCTGATCAGATAGGCCTGGGGTTCAGGAGTTTTATTGGGGGAGGTTGTTGGTATTTTAAATGTTTTATGTTTATGTGCATGCTCTTGCATATATTTATATACAGAAGCTTCAGAGGTCAGAAGAGGGAACTGGATCCCCTGTGACCTACCATATGGGTGCAGGGAATTGAACCTGGGTCCTCTGCAAGAACAGTAAGCATGCTTAGCCACTGAGTCATATTTTTAGGCCTGAGTTAGTGTTTGTAAAGTTTCCCCAAGGAAACTCATGACCAGTTAGGTCCCTAGATATGGATGTTAACTTAAAAACAGAATAAGTATTTGGTAAACTCATTGATGTAGCAAGTAGTTTTTGAGTAACTACTTTGTGCTAGGTATAGTTTGGGGTATATAAGCATAGTAGGAACAAGGTAAAATGAAGAAGTATACACACATATACATATACAATTCATATACACAGTCTATAACCTAGAAGCTTTAGTAAATAACAAGGGAAACAAATAAAATGCACCTCTTAAGAGACATATACTTGTTAGACAAGAAGATTCTGAGTATATTGATGGAACACCATCACTGAGTCAGAGAGCAATTGTATGAAAAAAGAAAGAACATCTTATCCCATTCTAAATGTCAAGAACCAGAACTAAAGCATGTAGTGGCCCTCTCAAGTTGGCCTTCATACTTACCTAAGAAGGAAGAGAGTATCTGGTAAGTGAACTTAAAATATTAGCAAGAAAGAATTTCGTAATAGTCCAAGTAAGCAAAATACGTTTAAATACCTCAAAAAAAAAAAAAAAAGGCTCAATAACAAGAATTGCTTGTGTTTGTTTGCCATTGATGTGGGCTGTTTAAAGCTCTGCACTGACTTTACTATGGATGTGATGGATTGTAATGAAAACACCCTCATTACACAGCATAATGCAGGGACTTATTTGTGTGCTCTTTGGAGTTAGTTCTTACAAGTAAAGTTTTATTGTTTGCCAGCAATACAGGCTGAGGAATGAGATGGGCTGGCAATATGTGCATCAAGAAAATATAGGTGCCAGGTGTGGTGGCACACACCTTTAATCCCAGCGTTCAGGAGGCAGAGGCAGCAGGATCTCTATAAGTTTGAATAGCCTGGTCTACAAAGTAAGTTGCAAGATAGCCAGAGCTGTTACACAGAAAAGCCTGGGCTCCAAAAACACAACAACAACAACGAAAGGTTCCTGAGAATCACTTTTGGGAGTGATTCTGCAGCTCTACCATGGAATCTTAAAATCTATGTTTTTGTTACATTTATTTGTTGTGTGTAGGGTGGGATGTATGTACCAGAGTATACATGTGGAGGTCAGAGGGCAACTGCGGGAGTTAGGTTTTTTCCTCCAACATGCAGGTCCTGGGGCGGGAACTCAGGCTGTTGGTTTTGATGGCAAAGTCCTACACCCACTAAGCCATCCCACAGCCCCCTGAGAATCTTCATTTTAACCACTTGTAGCAATTCAGATATGAGATTTGTTGGGAACCACAGGAAATGGTTAATTGCTGAGAACCAAGGAGAAACAAGCATCCAAGAAGGCCTCAGTTCAGTTCCTCTCCCACTGGGTACATTTTCCAATGCCTCTATCTCTTCATTGAGTCTTGGGTCCCAGTGGGGTCCAGATGCAATAGCAGTCACTATGTGTACAGGGCCAGGAGCACACAGGGACCACATCCATGGGGGTAACAGATCATTGGCACCCTGATATACTCTGATGCTCAGTTTGTACTTCCTGAGAAATGAGGGACCGGAAAGCAGAAAAGAAATCCCTACAGTCACCCACCCACTCGGTTGATGGCAGAACAGGGGTACCCATTCCATTCCATTATGCTTCCTTTCTTCTCATCCTTCTTTCTCTTAACTTTGAGATCCCAGGGTGGGGGTCAGTCCCTCTGACAGATGCCAGGCTTCAGACAAGAAACTGTAGGTGAAAACTGTCAGATTCCTGTAAGCTACAGCCCCTTCATGCAGAATCTGGTCCACAGTGAGGTAATCATAAGGCAAGGCAGAGCAGCTCTGAGGCCACCCAGGGTCAAGTCCCTGCAGTGGCAACTGTTAGCAGTGGCCTGCCGCCTCCCCAGGTTTCCTCTCCCGTGCCTTCTAACTCTGCAGAATATGTGTCCTCAGACACGAAAGCCACTGTTAAGCCAACACAGGAATCTACTACATCAGCATAATCACATGGATAGAAACCATAGAATTTCTCTGTAGTCAGTAGACATATGAAGGCAACTCACCATGTCCAAGAGAAGTTTTTCAGCTTTGTCTCTGCTGATGTTTTTATTGTACCACCTGGAAGCCAAAAACAAGTCATGTGTCACAGTTTGAAAACTATTGATTATTATAAAAGACAATGCTTGAAAATTATGTGTTTGCTTTCGGTTTCTACCAGCTCTTTCAAACTCAAAAAGAAAGCTGTGATCATTTCCAGGAGAAGAAGAAAACAAAACAAAACAAAACAAAAAAACCCCAAACCCAAAGAGTTGGCATAATACTGGCGATTGTTAGAGAGTGGTGTTTCAGGGCTTTGTATTATGCTCTCTACTTGTGTGAAAGTTGAAAAATTTCCATGATAGTGTTGTAGGAAACATTCATCTCCCCCATTTCATATTTCAGTGGGTGGCTGTAAGTAGGAGGGTGTTAGGCAGCCATAAAAAAACGTTAATATTAATTTGCAAGGTTAGCAAATATCTTTTGAAAACAGTTGCCACATTTTCTTCTTAAGATTGGACTCCAGACTTTGCAGTTTTTTTAAATTGATGAATGTAATTAATAAGTGGCAAAAAAGGGAATAATTTTTAAGAGTGAAATCTTTGAATGTTACTACAATGCTGAGACATATCCTGACCATATTAATCACTTAGATAAGATAAAATGTGGTGGTGGTGGGAGAAGGGACCCACCCAGAGTTAAAAAGAAGAAAAACAGGAAGTGGCCATGCAGCTATTAAATGTCCATGCATTTGTGTACATGCAAGACAGTCAGTAGCCCATGTGGATATGCAGACATGCAAATTGGTTAATGTTCCTGTGTGCTGTGCAGATTGACCATGTCTCTCCTTCAGCCCCCTCCCTTGCCCATCCCTTCTCATTCTAGCCATTAATGGTAGTTTAATGTATCCAGTTGAATATATGCAACCATATATAAGATACAAAGAATCCCAAAATGAATAAAAGCCCCAGCCCTGTAACATTCAGGGCTATCTAGCACTTGGACAATAATTCTCTAGAAACCTGAAGGACAGTATAATAAATTACTTCCTGGTAAAGGAAGCCTACTGGGTCTCAATTCTGGACCAGAAACCCTGCAACAAAAGTAAAATGATCATCAGTTGACAATTTGTTTCAGAAATTAATAAACACAGGAGAGGCTCTAGATGAGGAAAGAATAGTATCTATGAAACTTATTTGGCTACTTGAGGGCATCCAAGGATAAGAGATCCAGGGGATTCCCTTGAGCTTTTAAAACACAGACTATACACCTCCACAGGCTCCCAGATATAAGCTGATAGCAAGCATGCTTCATCCAATCCAAGCCCCACACAATACATAAGGGTTGCTAGATCTGTGCATCTAAAGTATGAAACCACTCGGGGTTCAGCACACAATAGTGTCACGCTCATAGAGTGAGGTCTTCTTGTGTTCATTGCACAGGTAGTGAAGAGAAATATTTGCAGTGTAGTGTTTTGCCTGCTTCTGTCCCGTCTAACCCATCCTTTACCAGAGGAGGGATCAGAGCTCAAATGGAGTGAGTAGCTGCTCTTCTGCAGTTTTAGTTTTGTGATTTCAGTTGCCCACAGCCAACCTGTGGTCCCAGAAAATGTTAAATGGACAATTCTAGAAATTAACTACCGTTAAGTTATGGGTAGCATGGTGAAATTTCATGATGATCATCTAGGCTATAAGTCATCCAAGAGATAACGTATCTGCTTACATACACTATCTAGCTGTGTGGGTTACCAGATAGACTGCCACAATATTGCTGTGTCTGCATTCAAGTGACTCTTAACATTTTGCAAGAATAGTTATGATGACAATTTTACTACAGTATATGGTTAAAAGTTCTATTTCATCACTAGCCATTAGTGTTAATTTCTCAATGTATCTAATTTAAAGTAAACCCTACTGTGGTGATATTTTGTTTATGATCTAATAAAGCTTGCCTGAAGATCAGAGTACAAAGCTAGCCACATCCATAGAGGCTGGGCAGTGATGGTATACTTTAATCCCAGCACTCTGGAGACAGAAGCAGACAGATCTCTGTGAGTTCAAGGCCACACTGGGCTACATGAGAGTGAAACAGTCTAAAAGAAAAACGGAGCTCACACCTTTGATCCACCACATGGATTGACTTGTCTTTAATCTCAGCACCAGAGAGGAGGAGACAGGAACAGTCTAGTGCAGTCTAAGGGTTTTGGTGGAGAGCATTGCAGTCTGCAGTCACTCACTGTGAGGACAGAATTGCCCCCCACTTTTGGTCTTAGCCTTGGCAGAGGTAAAAACTCTCTAGTGGCTTGGCTGCTTTGCTTTTTTGATCTTCAGCTTGAACCCTAATATCTGTCTCTGGGCTTTTATTTCTTGTGCTATACCCTACCATAGGCTGTATATAGAAAGAAACACATAGTACATATTGAGTTCAGAACTACTTGCAATTTCAGGATACTGTAGGTCATGGAATACAGCCCCAGGAATAGTAGGCTACAACAACTTGTCCAAAGTCCGGCCTCTAGACAAAGGTAGGAACCCTGAATCCAGTTAAGCTACTAAGTAATGATACTCTTACTACATGACATGTTTTTGAGTTGTCGTTCAAGACTCATCTAAAAGTAGTAAAAATTAAGTTAAAGAATAAAAAGTCTGGGTAGCTTTTCTATGTCTTGCTATATATTAAATACCAGAATGTTTTCTTATGTTACATTATTTCTAGCTGGGTTCCATAACCCTGGAAATGCAAGCTGGCAGTGCACGGTACAAACTAGTTCACAGACCATATGGTTTTTATTAAGAAAATGATGTAAAATTCCTTTAGGTCAGAACTACCCATTTTAACTTGCCCCCAGGGTTCCATCAAGTCTCTACCACTTTTTATTTTGTTGAGGCTTTGGATTTGCTTCTTGAAGCATAAACAAACGGATTTTAGTTGCATGCCAAAAGAAATATAGCTATTCAGCCAAGCAGTCATTTGTAATAATTAATTTTTTCCTCCAAAGGCACTGACTATATAAAACAATTATTTCAGCTAAGTATCGCTCATCTGTTTCTTCTCAGCATAAACATTCTTGGAAAGGATGAATCATCTCACAACCCAGGGAAGAGCTATTCACACATATTTGATCAAAGTGTTGAAAGACACTCAAGGAAATGATAGCACTTGGTTACTAGCATGTATTCAGATTGCAAAAACCATTACATTGGTCACACTGAACTAGCAAGAATCCCAATGGGCTAGTGGAAATTCTGGTTATCATATATATTTCTTCTGTGGTGTTTTATATTTATTGAGTACTAATTTATTTATTTTTGGGGGAGGGCATTACTTCATCTTCAGGTTATAGCACATCATCATGGGAAGCCAAGGCAGGACCTGAAGGGAGGAGCTTGAAGCAGAAGCTGCAGGGGAACCCTGCATACTAGCTTAATCCCAGGCTCACAGTTAGCTATCTTCTTTCTTTCTCTCTCCCTTTTAACTTTTGAGATTATAATTTAATTAGAATACTTCTCCCTTCCCTTTCCTTTCTCCAAACCCTTCTACCTGCCCCTCCCTAATCTCTTTCATATTCCAAGCCTCCCCCCACTAATTGTTATTGCATTAATACTAAGTATAAACTGTTTGTTCTGTATAATTCTACCTGTCTGTATGTTTTCAGGGTTGACTGTTTGGTACCGGACAACCAATTGGTGTGTTCTTCTCTCAGTTGCCTGTAGTTCTTTACATAGGATTGAGGCCTTGTGGGTTTCGCTCCATCCAGCTTTGCATGTTCATGTCATCTTTGTCCATCTCACAGTTTTGCAGTTGTGTGGGTACTATTTTATGGGTGTAGCTTCTCCCATTATTAGGAGATACAACTTCAAAGCCAACTCCCTCTGGCTCTCACAATCTCTCCACCCCATCTCCTATAAGGTTCCCTGGACCTTATATAGAGGAGTGTTTTGTAGATGTACCCATTGTGATTGAACTCCACAACTCTGCATTTCAAGGCAGGCAAGATGGCTCAGCTAGTAAAAGTGATTGCTGAGCAGTTAAACCACTGGAGCATAGAGGTGCGGGGAGAGAACCAACTCCAGAAAGTTGTTATCTGACTTCCACATACATACAATAATGATAACTTTTCAATCTTATAGAAAAGTTATAAAACAGTATCAAGGAACTCCCACTGACCCTTTTCCAAGATAAACCAGTGGCTGAAAGTTTATATATTTACTATTCTCTCTAGATATTTTTGGCATGTTGATGGGTGTATTTAATTATTATATTTTATTTATTATTGTGTGCATATGGGATTGTGTGTGTGTGTGTGTGTGTGTGTGTTTGTGTGAGTGCATGCATGCACGTATGTGCACACACATGTGTAAGTCAGAGGACAACTTTATGCAGCTAAATCTCTCCTTTCATCTTTGTGCACACTTGGGAATCTCAGATTGGGAATCTTTGTGCACACTCAGATCATCAGCCCACAGCAAGCACTCTACACTCTGAGCCATCCCATTAGCCCTGGTGTATTTTTCCTGCATTTCTTGAGAGTGAACTTTTACTTCTAAGTACCCAGAGTTCTATTTAGTATCTTATAAAGATCAATTTAATAATGAATTTTAATATCTCTACATATTATCTAATTGTAGACTTTATCAAAATCGTATTGCTTTTAGCAATACTGTGTTGGCAATAAAACATTTTTATGGTTAGAAATCCAATCCAGTATTACTTGTGCATTTAGTTACTCTCTTCCTTAGTTTCCTTTGGCAGGGACCAATTTTTCAGTTTTTTGTGGCTTTCATCAAACTTAATATTCTTGAAGATTAAAGGCCATTTATTTTATAGAATTTGGATTTGCTACTGTGTTCTCATGATTAAATTCATATTGTATATGTTTTGGAGCAGGGATAATGGGCAATATTTTGGAGCCACATTGAGATGAAAGTTGATCACAAGATCAACCAGTTATCTCCATTTTGTAGTTATAATTGATTTATGAGGGGATTACTTTGAGCCTGTAAATAAAGAAAAACCTTTATTATATTTATTACATTGAATCCTGGGTTGTGACATTCATTGATTTTGCCAGTGCTAATACTTAAGAGCTACAAAAGGTGGTTTTCAAGCTTTGTTAGCATTCTACATCTATTAGTTGGCATTCTCCTAAGAAAAAACTTTGTTTTATTTATTTAGTTACTTACAATCAATCTACTTATTATGAATTATTACTTTATTCAATCAGTTACAGCCCACTACTATCCTCATTTGTTTTGATATTCAAATTATCCCAATCTGATCAATGATAGCCTTAAACTTTGACATGATGAAATCACTAAAATACTTTTTCAAAAAATATTACTTCTTTTCTTTCTAGTGCAACATGACATCCCAAATTCATCTTATTCTTTCCTTGCCTCAACCCTGGAGTCTTTATGCTCCACTGCCTCGAGAAGTCTTTAGTGGGGATGCCATGAAGAAACAAGATCTAAGTGGTAGCTGTAGACATTCCAGCCTCCAAGGTAGGGAGTACACATGTATGGCGGTTACTTCATACACTATATTGGATTTTATCAAACAAGCATTTAACATTCCCACTAAAATTGAACGTATAAACTTTCCTTCTAAGTGACAGCTTATTGATAAATACTTAGCACAGCCTAAGCAGATACTTACCACCTGTGGGTTTGAATAGTGTCCTGATATTGGCAATACTATGTTTAACTATGTTTTAAGTCAATTGGTATTTTATCTAATATTCATAGGGATTTTTTTCTCAAGTGACCAATACTTGGGATTTCCAGTAAAAGATTTCCCTACTACAGAGTATTTTTAAGGTCCCAATAACTGTTACTTAATAAAAAAAGGTAATGCAGTATACTGACCACACTCCTTTTTCTCCTATTTGGGTTAAACCCATAGTGTTTTGGTCATCAGAGAATAGAAGAAAATAAAACAGCCAAAAGGAAAAAAAAAAAAAAAAAAAAAAAGGAACTGTTGGGAACTTTTATAGTCAACCAATAGGGAGGAAACTTTACCATAGTTATAAAAAGCTAATTGGAGCAGGTTGTGCTGACACATGCCTTTAACCCCAGCACTTAGGAGGCAGAGGCAGAGGCAGGACAATCTCTGAGCTTTAGGCTAGCCTGGTCTCAATAATGAATTTCAGATCAACCAGGGCTATACAATGAGCCCCTGTCTCAATAAACATGCAAATAAGTAAGTGATCAAAAAAAAAAAAAAAAAAAAGTGTGCTTGCTTCAGCAGCACATATACTAAAATTAGAATGATACAGAGAAGATTATCAGGGTTCCTACACATGGATGACATGACATGCAAATTCATGAAGCATTCCATATTTTTATGTAAAATTAAAAATTGTTAAATAAAAAGTATCTTACTCATATGTTTCAAGGTTATTTGGAGATTTCTCCACCAGGTAACTACTTGGTGCATATCCTTCATGCCTGTAAAAAGGAAAGCAAGTGGTTAGACTTGTAGAGAACTGATTTTTATACATCCCAATTTAGTAGATTTAATCCACTAAAATGTTTAAGAATTGGAAGTTTCACATTATTGGCATTTATGATAAAACATTTAAAAATGGGGTAGAACAGCTAATGAAAGTAACATAGATATGCTTAGTTGAAAGCAACACACTCCACCACAAACCATAAAATATAATAAATAACAAGTGGCTATTTACTTTAAGGCTTTAGTTTGCTGTTCTCATCATGAAATTTCCTCTACTGGAAAAATTACTTTTTAATCTTTATTTTCTACTTTATGCCATCATTTTCCAATAAGGAAATCAAAGTAATTAAGATGTAAGACCCCAACTTTCTAACCACAGGTCCTTAAAGCTCATCCCCAGCTGGTGCTGTCCACTTTTAAGTTTAAAACCTCCCTGGCTGAGCATATTCAGATAAAGAACCACAAGAGAAATGATAATGTTAAGTTGATCAGATGGCCCATGCTGGTGATCTTAGTACTCCAGAGGCTGAAGCAGGAGGAAAGCTGTGGATTTGAGCCCAGCCTGGGTTACACAATGAGTTCAGGCCAGCCTGAGGTGCAGCATGAGACCCTGCATAAGATCAAAAAAAGATCAAGCTGGATTCCAAGATCAAATGTCACATTTGAGCTGGAATTAATATTACAGAAAAAAAAAACAGGACAAAAAGTTAATAAGCATTATCAACACCTTTTACATTGTAGATAGCTTTGCAGATCTTGAATTCACTTTGTATTCACCCCTCAGCACCACCGAACAGTTGAAGGAGTCCTTCAACTTTCTTGGCTTCTTGTTCTTACTAGTGAAACTTGATTACATCTAAAATACCTCTAGATCCTGCTGATGTACAAAAATGTACAAAAGTAGACCCTTCTCACAGTCTTTCAAAACAATACTAGCCAGCACTGGCTTTTCTATATCCTGTTGGGGACATGCAAACTTGGTAAAATTCTAGTAGAAATTATCTGTTAAAATGAAAACATTATACTCTGACTTAACATTTCCATAGTTAGAATTGAGATATATGTGCACATACATGTAAACATCCAAAAACGTGTCATGCTACATAAATATTGCCCGGTCTACATTCAAGCTTTGTTCAAAATAACCCAGAAGGGGCTACAGAAATGGCTCGGTGTAACAAGAGCACTTGTTACTCTTGCAGAGGACCTAGGTTTGACTCCTATAAGCACCAACATGGTGGTTCACAACTACCTGTTATTAACACTTGATGTTAATATATGAGAATATTGGTCACAGTAATATGGGGCTCATGAGATGTTTTTCAGAGTTGGCCATTAGTATTTTTAGAACCTTGTTGTCTCCATACATTATGTAATGATTGCTTTCATAATGAAGTCTCTGGTGCCACCTGAGACTTTCTAACATAACCGCTATTCTGTGCCATCTTTACACACCTTTTCTTTCCACTTACTTTACATGAGGCACAGGGAGTAAGAATGGCAAGGGAAAGCCTCTCTGCTACTTCCGAGAAGAGGAATGACTAGTTCACTCCTCTCTCCCTTCCACTGAGCTCAGTTCTGCTTTCCAATTCAGCCTCAGGACAGCTGAATGAAGTTAGACTTCCTTCCCATATTTGCTTCGTTCTCACAGCAGCCATGTACTTGTCTTACCCGTTCTTATCTTGAACCCTCCACCAGTGGATCTCAGAGCTGTCCAGCAGGTAGTATTCTTCATCACACTGCAGGGCAAGCTCCTGGGGGTCATTGGTTTGGTAGTCATACAAGGCAATGACCAGGGTTTCTTCAGGTTCCTGAAGTGACCGCTGGACAAGAAACAACAAAACCAAGTGAAGACATAAGTAGGGATTGAGTCCTGGGGATCCTGGATTTAAACTAGGTCAATATGCCAGCTCCTTCCACCCACTGAGGTCATTTGTAGAGACAGTTGCCTTCTTCAAGTTGGCATTCTTTGTGAGTTAGAATTATGGGGATGAAAAGATACAAATAGCAACAGTATGCATTTCTGTCATTCTGTAAGGTAAATTCTGACCCCAGTTAATCCCAAGAAGCCATGTACTTTTCATAGAAATTTATTGGTTTCTATATTGGTTCATCTGATTTGTGGATTTGCCAAGATCCATCAAATCAGAGGCTATCAGGGCTGGAATTCCCTCAAGAGAACATTTCACCATTGCTTCTATTTAGAATGGAGAATCAGATCCCATGGCAGGGAATGGACATATCCAACTCTCAGAGAATTCATCTCAATGCCTCCTCTACAGTAACACATGGCTCCTTTCTTCCTCTTGCAGAAACCTTGACCTATATCTCTGTTCCACACTACGGTGGTTTTAATAAGAATGTCCTCCACAAACTTATGTGTTTTGAACATGGCCCATAGGGAGTGGTACTATTGGAGGAACTGTGTCACTATAGGGGTGGGCTTTGAGGTTTCATATGTTCAAGCTTCCCTCAGCATGGCTGAGTGTCTCCTTCTGCTACCTGCAGATCAAGATGTAGGAGTCTCAGCTTTTTCTCCAGCACCATGTCTGCCTGGACACTGCCATGCTTCCCACTATGATGATAGTGAACTAAACCTTTGAAACTGTAAGCCAGCCCCAATTAAACACTTTCCTTTATAAGAGCTGAGGTGATCATGGTGTTTCTTCACAGCAATAGAAACCCTAAGACACATACCATATTTCAATTAGGGTGAAATATTAATGACATGAAGAACAGCTGATAAGGCAAACAACTGCTAGAAGTCAAGATGAACACATGTGAGACCGAGTGGGAATAAAGCAAATATAGGAAAAAATGGAGTTACTGGCTAGAAAGTGATGTAGTGTTGGGCAGTCACAAATTCTCTGAGTACACTGAAGTATGGTATTTATGGAGCTTGAAATAGGTGATGGGTTGGGTCCTCCAGATAGCTAAGAGCCTGTTGACCTGAGGCTTCATATAGAACTAACACATGGAGAAACTGTGTTCAAGGCACTGGAAGAAGGTGCAGAAGTGACATGTTATTCATGTTACTGTAGATATAACTCCCTGATTAACCCTTAAAGGAAAAATGCTAGCACAGAGGCTTGGATGATGGTAGTACATTTCTACAGAGGTCAAGGAGAGCACATAGTGGGACATGCAGACAGTACCAAGTTTGTGGGGCACCATGGGTATTTAGTAGGCAAGTGCCAAGAATACAAAATGTTCTGCAGTATCTCACAGACTTTACAACTTTTGAATTTTCATCCACATGGTGAAAACCTGCAAATAATTATGGTACACTGTTGCAAAGTGGACATAGCTCATTGGAGTTTTATGATATAACTGAAGACCTGAAGGCCACATCATACCTCTATCCAATAAAAAGAATTTCCAGGAGTTCACTACTTGTGCACCGAGGAAGCTTACCCTTGTTTTATCCGCCATTTTGGAAAATCATATAACCCATGGAAACACTAGAGATGAGCCATCAGTAAGACATTCCAGTACTTATTGCCAAATTCAATGGATTCTGCCTATGGGTATTGGCATATTTTATCGTCTTCCCACACTCATGGCCCCATATTTTCATTTAAGAATACAAGTTATCCTATTTTATGTTTATTATTACAAATAGTATATTTATTTATTCTCTTAAGAAGTATTTGTTTACATAAATTGTACTATTTAAGATTTTTAAAAACATCTTTCTTTTTATTTGTGTGTGTGTGTGTGTGTGTGTGTGTGTGTGTCTATGTGTATTGGTATCTATGCCACATGAGTGTTGGTACCCTCAGAAGCCTGAAGATAGCACTGGATCCCTTGGAGCTAAAGCTTCAGACAGCTGCTTGTGAGTAACCCAGTATGGGTGTGGGGACAGAACTTGAATCCTTTGGAAGAGCAGTCATTGCTTTTTACTGCTGAGCTATCTCTGCAGTCCCTACTCATGAATTCCCCACCCACAGGACAACAGAAGAATCTTTAAAAAACATTTCTCATAAAAAGGAGACATTAGGTCTGTGGTTGAGAATCACTAAATTAAATCAAGGCTTGGCATTTATAGAAACAGAGGGCAATGAGGCTCAGGAAGGACTGGTTGAGGTCCCAAGTACAAAGAGGAGGCTTGGAAATGAGGGTCCCATTTCTTGGCCACTCTACTTACTGCACAGGTGAGAATATTTCTGGGCCCTGGGAGTTCTGACTGTAGGTGGGTAGAGATCCACTATGCTGAAAGACTATGCAGGCTGGGCAACAGTGGCAAGAAGAGGACTTGCCTGGGAGCCAGGGAGAAGGACATAAGCAGATACATTTAGGGTAACTCCACAGTCTTCCTCAAGTAGAGCATGTCCTGGTTAGCCTTAACTGTCAACTTGATAACAGCTAACTAAGAATTATCTCGGAAGAGAGTACCAACTGAGCAACTGCCTAGATCAGATTGGCTCCTGGGCATGTCTGTGGGGGATTGTCTTGTTGTAATTGATATGGGAAGGCTCAGCTCACTGTGGACAGCATCATTCCCTAGGCTGGTAGCCCTGAAAAACCTCAAGACTTCTTGATACATGTTTTGCTAAGTTTAAAAGCAAGGATAAAACTATAACCCTTCCAAGTGAATAGAAGCCACAGCTTTATCATAAATAGCAAAAGTGTGGAAGTGATTTGGAATCCATAAAGTCTTAACAGGTGTTTGTCTCTGGAGTGCTCTATGCTCAGGCATAAAGACAGCTTGGTATCAGTGCTTGTAGACTGTGTACAGTGAGGTGACAGTCCAGGACTGGAGTGATCCTCTAAGTGGATAAACTCATTAAACAAACATTTTTCAACCTGTGGGTCATGACCCCTTTGGTGCTGAATGACTCACAGGGGTTGCATATTAGATACCCTGCATATCAGATATTTACATTATAATGCATAACAGTAGCAAAAATTATAGTCATGAAGTAGCAACAAAAGTAATTATATGGTTGGAGATAACCATAATGTGAGCAACTGCATTAAAGAGTTGCAGCATGAGAAAGGTTGAGGACTACAGCACTAAATAGTCCCTAAAACCACTGTTAAGTATACCCCAATTGCAGCTGTCTACTACACGCACATAAATCTGAGAGACAGAGGTCTTATAGCACACAAGCCCAGCACACAAGCCCACCTCACTTACTCTGTTGTCTTCGGGAGTAGGAGGAAGAGGCTTCTTTGAAGCTGAAACACGAAAAAGAGAAAAAGAAGAACATGAAACCCCAGGCTTTCAGAGAAGGGGCCCAAGGAAAGGAGTGAAGAGAGAGGGCAGAAAGGTGATGACATAGACACCGGAATCGGCCTTGCCAGACTTGTCTTTCATCTTTTGCACTTGTTGGTTTCCAATTCCCCTTTCTAGAAGACACTAGAGACGTCCAGAAGCCAATATTTTAGGATTTTTGTATCCCCTGCCTGGGAAGAGACCAAGATTTGGGCTCTTCTCTGCAGGTAGAGAAACTTCCATGAATGCATATGTCACCTTCTGAGCTCAGGAGTGGGGATATGTGACTCAGAGACAATGACTCACTACCTTCCTGATGCCACTGTGGGCTTGATGATGTGGGAGGGCATTGTGCTTTCTGAGTGGGATGAGGGCTGCTTTTAGTTGCCTTGAGGCATTTAAATATATATTCTGATGCCTCACTTAAAAATCATCTCTCTCCTTCAAAATCAATCTCTCCCCTCCCTCATTTCCATGTGTCTTCTTATGTCCTCTTTCTTGCCTCTTTTCTCCTTATCCTTCTCTGCTTCCTTTATCTTCATCTCCATCTCTCAGTTGATTTATGTGGACCATGTTCCTTACATCACAGGCCAGGCCTAGAAGCTATGGACACCCAAAAAAATGTGTGTGTGTGTGTGTGTGTGTGTGTGAGAGAGAGAGAGAGAGAGAGAGAGAGAGAAGCATGAGAGGCATGGGTGTGTGTACAGATTTCAGTTCAGGACAATGATCTCTTTAAGCATTGGAGGTAAGAGAATGGGCTGTATCGGGAGGCTGGAAGGTTGTCATTCCTACATGTGGTAGAGTTGAAGACATCCCACATCATGGATGTGATAGACTAAGATTCATATGTGGACACTGGAGCACAATCCCATGCTGACTCCTTGAGCAAGGGTAGGTTGGAGTATTGGGTTGTGTAAACAGTGAACAGACAAAGAAATCATACACAATCTAAACTCTAGCTTCTGGGCTGGGGTTATTATAACTCACTTGTATGCAAAAGCCCCACTTTTAATTGCCAGTAAGAGGCATGCATGCATGTGCACACACACACACACACACACACACACACACACACACACACACACGTATGCACGCACGCACGTATGCCAGGTCTGGTTTCTATTTAGCATGGGACCTGGACCAGGACACTGGATTAACCGTAGCATCACCAGGTTGAGCTTCTTCTATGCCTGGTCATCTTGTGACTGGTCACTTTGTCTTTCTTTAGTAATCTTGCTCTTTTTGTCCTTATTCTCTCTGTGTGTAATGTGGGGATGGGATATAGTTAGGACTGCCTGTGGTGGCAGAAATGTGTCGCTAGGTCATTTCCTCTCAACTATTTTGCTGTTTCTTAGATGCTGCAGTATCTTAGACTTGGATGCTTTCATCACAAATAAGAAAGGTGAATGAACACAGTTACCCTTTTTTTTTTTTTTTTTTTACTGAGAGCTCATTACGGGCTGTCAGTGTGCTAAGAGCTTTCTACTGCCCTGGTGAGTCTTCCAACAGTCACTTGACATAGCTGCTTATTATTCTATCCACTTAGGAAGAAATTACCTGAAAGGCTCAGAGAAGTTAAGGAACAAATAAAGTTATGCAACAAGAAAACCCTATGCTCATAGACCTTGCACTGTTGATGCATTCAACACAAGAAATCCTCAGAGTCTTTACCCCAGGAATGTGATGTGCTGTGTGCACCATGAAGTATGCTTCCCCACACTGCTTGCAATCCTGCCAAAACTGTGGGGAGGGATGTTATTTAACTAAGTCAGAAGAGATGGCAGTGGGTTGCAAAAGCAAAGTTATCAGTCAAACAGCTGCACCTCACAGGCATGGTCATGGCTGAAAACTCTTCAGCTACTGGGGTCAGCGTGGAGGAGCTGGTGAAGATCAGCCCTTCTCAAGGGTAGTCATATTGAGTTACTCAACCACTTATAACACCTCAGTCACATGCCTCCGGGTGAGGGAAAGCCTGTGAAGCTTGCTGAGGGGCACTGTAACCTACATGGGGGATGGGTGAGGGATTACATTGCCTTAGTGTTCTGAGACCTCTTGTACCACTTTAGAACTGAGGACATTAGGGCCCCAGGTTGTCAGGTGACTCCTACAAGGGTCCACAGAAGAGTACTGGTAGAATCAGAGACCAGCTCTGACTCTGGGAGGGCTTCCTATCAAGAGCCAGACATCCTGCCAACTCCCCAAGGTGATCCATGTAATCAAACTTCTGTTCTCTCTGCTCAGATACAGCCAGTAGGGCCAACAGTACTAAGGAGTAGGCACTGACCTCCACAATGCTAAATATTATTCATGAAGGCTGGTAGACTGATGACCTGGACTCTTTCTTTCCCAAGTGCAAGGTGAAAAGCAGTGGTTTTTAAAATAGCTGTGGGAGGCTGTGACTCAGGAAGCCATGGGAAACCCAACTATGTGTTATATCCGCTTTATGTTAGGACAGTAAAAACCACAGGATGAGAAATAATGTCTGTGGTAGGAGAGGCTGAGATGAGAAAACTGGAAGTAAAACATTCGTTTCTATCCTGTCCTAACTGTGTGACCTTGAACTGCTCGAGGCCATCCATTTCTTTGACCTCTCTCTCCACTGGAGATAGCAGTAAAAAACCCAAGCATAGTGTTATGAAGATGCATTTGAGCAGAGCTGAAGTTCAATGGAGGTGTCCCTAAGTCACCATGATGTTAGATACAAATTAAGACACAGTTGAAGTTCAATGGAGGTGTCCCTAAGTCACCATGATGTTAGATACAAATTAAGACACAGTCCAATCCCCAGGACTGGGCTTTTGATGGATCCAGACTATGGATTCTTTTTCTCTGAGACTGAACAGATCAAGGGCAAGTCTGAACACCAGGCAGGAAGAAGCCAGAGTTAAAATTAAGAGAAGTTTTCTCTCTCCCTGAAGCTTTTGGAGTTGAATTTATATAATTAGACATATCCATGGGGTGATGTCATTAAAAGAAAGAAATAAGGGGATATAGTTATTTAGGGCTGTCTATGTAATTTAAGATCTAAGAAGACTGTTCAATTTTCCCAACAGGCTACTGCAGTACTTTTCAGATTTTACTGTTGTCTACCAGTGTTCCATGGATCTTGTTAGCATGCACATTCTGGTCTCGTAGATTGGGCAGGACCAGATACTTTTAAAAAAATATTTATAACTAACACCCAGGTAGCACAGATGGCTGACTAAGGACCATACTTAGAGTGCATGGACTATGAAGTAGAAAAGCATGGAAGAGATGGTAGACATAGGTGTCCCAGTGAAAATTCTGGAAATAGAAAAATTTCCCTTGGGTCTCAGACCCCCCTGTTGATGGAAAGCTGAGATGGTTCCCTCTTTGTCTCTTTACCATAGTCTTACCGTTCTTGGTTGGGTCATAGGGGGCACAGCCTACTGCAAGCTTCTCCAGCTGGGAACAGCACCTCCACCGCCCATCCATCCAGAAATTAGGGTGATACTTGGATACCAGGCTGTTGTTATTCCTCGTTTCTGTAAGAAGTTGGTATCAACAGAGGGCTCATTTACAGGCCAGCTGATCAAACACTAGCAATCTTTTAACTCCCTGAGATGGGACCCTGAGGCAGGCATGTCCTGAGTGCCTGAGTCCTGAGTCAGGCAATTCATGGTGCTCCTTATTGAGGGAGTGTGGGTTAAGCCAGTCAGCAGCAGATATAGTTTCTCCTCTGGTTCTGCTTCCCTTTGGCTGTGTGTCTCTAGGATGGAGAACTCTCATGTAAGCCTCACTCTCCCCAGATTTCCCTGCTATGCCCTCAACCTGATGAGTGTGTGCTATGATGAAGCATTGGGGGGTTAAAGAGAAAGTTAAGAGGGTGGAATTTCCATCTCTCTCACTTTGAATGACACCGGATTTGCTGTTTTATTTTTTTAAGGAAAGGGCTCATGTAGCTGAGTATGTCCTTACACTCTAGATCTTCTTGCCTCTATCCTCCACATGCTGGGATCCCAGGTGGGCACTACCATGTCAAGTGTGTATGGTGCTGGGTGTTAGAACCCAGGACTTCATGCATGGTAGGTTAGTACTCTACCAACCAAGCTGCTCTGGGGCCCTGTAAATTTGCTTTTATTTTCTCTAGGCTTATGGCTTTGAAGTAAAATTTCTTAGGAATAGAAGGGACTCCACTAGTTAAAAACAACAAAAACAACATTATTGATTCTCTAGAGATACTTCTGGTTCTAAAATTTGGATCAAAACCATGGTATAATATATGGAGAAAAGCCAGGCAGTAGTGAGTATGCCTTTAATCCCAGCACTTGGGAGGCAGAGACAGGTACTCTGAGTTTCAGGCCAGCCTGGTCTACAGTGTGAGTTCCAGGACAGCCAGGGCTACACAGAGAAACTCTGTCTCAAAAAACAAAACTAAACAACACAACAGGCAAATGAATGTAGCTGGGGCTCTTTATTAGTTTTGGCTTAGCGTCTGTTTTCTACCATGGCCACTGGACTTGAGAGTACTTTCTAGTTGTCTTAAAGCTTGCTGGTTCCCATCCCATTTGAGATTCATTTGACTGTGGAAACCTAGGATATAACTTTAGTCTCATTTTTCAGACAGAAGGACTGTGGCTCCAGACATGGTAAGGGTCTTGCTTCCTTACTCCTCACAGTTGCCTAGAGACAGGTCTCCTGATACACAGGAGGCTTCAGGCTAAAGAATAAGAATAATAACATTGATCAAGTACTGTTTGGGATGAGAATTTTTAAATGTACCTTAAATGTCCTAACTCATTTGATTCTTACAAGGGCCCTGTGACTATGCTTACATGACTTTTATAGCCAAGAAAACAGAGATGCACAGAGGTCCAGTTTCTGGACTTTCACTGCTGAACCCTGTCTCCTCATCCCATGAACTTAAACACTGTGTGGCCTCTAATTGTGCTGCCAGGAATGTGAGAATGAAGAAAGGAGGGTATGGTGGTGCATACCTGTAATTCCAGCACCTAGGATGTAGAGGCAGGAAGATCAAGAGCTACTTAGAAAACTGGAGGTCAGTGAACTTCTGTCTCAAAAACAAACAAACAAGCTAATGTTTCCTGGGCATTGGTCATGCCTGCTAGTTCCAAGAGTTTTACCCACTGTAGCTCTGTGGAGAGAACCTAATGAGCTCCCTTCCCTCTCCAGTTTGACAGCTGGGAATACTGAAGTTGAGAAATTGCTCAGAAGCACAAGCAAGAACCAGGATACCAAACCCTGGGATCTAACTAGAAGGGTCCTCATTCTAAACTTTTCTTGCTCTACTAGAGTAAGCTAACATTTTTAAAATGTCAGATAGTAAGTATTTTAGGTTTGACTGGCCAACAGGCAAAATGGCCTCATGTGGACTTAAATAGTCCCTTTAAGTGATTTAAAATACAGGACCTGTTTTTATCTTGGAGCCTCACATGAACAGGTGGTGTGGGCTGACTTTGGACAATCCTTAGCTTATACTGGTTGCTGTTCTTGGGTCCATGATAGAAACTCAAGGCATTAGCTGACAACCAATGGGATAAAGTTTGAATACCAGTTGCTTGCAGATATTACTGTATTGCTTCCTGGAGTTCAAGCCCAGCACAGGACTGAGGTGGTGGTGACTCAACAGCACAGGAGTGTAATTACCTTCTTTAAGGGTGAGTACCCAGCGCTGCCGGCTCTCACAGTCTGGAGCAAACACATACAGGAGGTAGTTGTCATGCATGACCTAGAAACACACAAGAGCCCAAGATGAGCAGTGTAGCCAGAAGTGGGGAACCCACCACAGGCCCATCCCAGTATTTATCATCATTTAACCTGGGTCACTTGGGAACTAGTATGTTTCTCATCAGAGTGCTTGGATGCTGTGCCATTAGGGTGACCCTCCATAGTGTAGGTGGCTTGTCTTGGTAATCACACCACAGTGGTTATTTGCCCAATCCAAGTACCAAGGGAAAGAGAAGTTGGTCTTTTGACCAGATAACATGTTTATTTCTCATCTTAATTTTTCAGTATAAGGAAACCTTCCTGGTGTATGTAAGAATAAGTTGTTAGATGACAAACATGGACTCAAGATACTTTTAAAATTCTTAGCAAAGTTTAAAATACACAAGGAGTTGCCCAGTGTGGACCCTACATATGTTCACTCAGCTTTCCTCATGGATGGATGGCACCCCGCACAATCAGAGCACAATTCTAAAGTAGGAAACTACTAAGCAAGCCTTGGGTCTTTGAAATGCTATTAGTTTCTCCCCCACAAGACTCATTTGTGATTGATACTTTTAATTTCTGGGAATTTGTGTCATTCATTTTACTTCCAGATTTATAACTTCCAACTCAGGTTGATTACATTCTGTAATCTCAGCACTTGGGAGCCTAAGGCAGGGGGTTCTATGTTCTAAACCAGTCTGGTGGTATGGAAAAGAAGGAGGAAGGAAGAGAAAGAAAGAGGGAGAAGGTCCAATTCATGGGGGCTACTTTTCTAGTAGGAAAAAAAAATGTCCTGTTCTGTGACTCATTAAAAATGGACCATCTGGCTGGAGATGTAGCTAAGAGGTAGAACACTTGTCTAGTACATGCTCAGGATCCTGGGTTCAATTCCCAGCACTGGAAAACAAACAAACAAACACAATCTAGGGATATCTGCCCTTCAGGCTGGGAAACATAAAGGTGCCTGGGATATGGGAAGAGATATCTACTCCACTGGTACTGTCCCTCTCTTTCACTGTGTGCCTGTGGAAGAGAGTACACCATGGTATGGATGTGGAAGTCAGAGGACAATTCTCAGAGTTCTTTTCTCCCACCTTCTGAGATCCGGGGGATCTAACTCAGGTCACCAGGCCTACATACAAGTACTTCTACCTGCTGATCCATCTTGCTGACCCCTTGAAAATTATCACTTCTTTAATACTATTTAATTCAGATTACCATCTCTACATAAACATTCACATCCCATAGGTGACTGCTATTTTGAACATCACCACCATCTTCAGGTAGCTATCAGATTGTGACATTTCAGAAACTGCAGAGAAGTTAAGGAAACAGGACCCCCAAGGCTGGGGCTGTAGTAAGTGGTAGAGCACTGCACAGCATGTACAAAGCCCCAGGTTCAATACACAGCCCTACAGGAAACCAAAAACCTGTCCAAGAGTCTGTGCCTTTGTGGAATGAATGAATCAATGAATGAATGTATGTTACAGGTTGGGAGAATAACACACAACACTTCCTGTGGGCTTGGCTCTCAGCATAGGTGAGATTCATACTTTCACCATCTTCTCTCACAAGGGCTGGGCATTCTAACCATGGCCCATGGCCAGAAAGCTGTCCATTATAGTCCTGATGGGCTTACCTGAAAAGGGTACTTATAGTGGCATGGGATGCTAATGTCACTCTTGACGATCTCCACACACTTGATTCTGGAAAGTTCAATGGAGCCTTTCAATGTGCGCTTTTTCTGTGAGGAGATATTACATTGTTTAAGCAAGAGAGAAGAGAAGGTTTTCATTTTGATTGTTTCCAGAAATTTACTATTAGAAAATATTCCATCCCTTTGTGAGCCAGTGAAGTGTTCCTAACCAAATATCCTGAAGCCTCCACCTGCCTCCATCTGAGAGGGACTCTGAGGAGACTCTTGGGAGAAAAGCCTCTGAAGGGTCATGATGGGGATCGATTTTTCTATTCAATCAGCCACAGTGGTACCCACCATGGTCCTGATGACACATGGCAATGTTTGTAGGCATCACAGGTTGTGTACTCAGTGGGAAAAGAACTGCATGTATAGCAACATATCCTGCTCTGTGCTATCTGTGACCTCATTCGTAATTGTGCTTACAGTTGACAGGTAGTGAGGTAGACTACTAGTGATGTCTTTGCCACATCTGGCTTTCCCATGTCTCTTAGTTATTCAGTGTCACAATAACACCCTGCAGCACACTCCTGCTCTGTAACTGCCTTTTGTCACTCACCTCACCATCCCCTATAAAATTGTACTGGTTCCATGCCTCGGTCCTTTGGAAGCTTGTTAGATGTGTTGTCTGAATAATTAATGGTGTCTTGTTTGATAATGATGTTAAATGTTACCTAAATGTCATTGCCCTCAGGAAATGGATCCTAGGACATGGGTCACCTTAACTAATGAGACATTCTATCAGTGGGACTGTCAGTCTCTAAGGGAGGTGAGTTAGGAGAGGCTTTTGGATATAGGAGCCTTTCTCAGGTACCTAGAATGTGGCTGCCATTGAGAATTAAGTTTCAGCCAACTATGGAACCATTTGTGAAACACGCCATTAGATGTCATTCTTTCTGAAGGTGTAAAACCAACACAAGAGTGGAGGGATGGGGTTCAAGGTTGGGCTTTGCCTCTTGTTAATGCCACAAACTTGGCAGCTCATCTAACTTACAAGAACCTTTGTTTATAGCTTTTAAGGACAGTTCCTGCCTCATGGGGTTGATTAGAGAGTAAGGAAGGATGATATTAATAAATTGTAACAGGGGCTTTTTAATAAAGGGTACCTTCCAAAGAAGTTAAGGAAGGGCCAACTAATGCAAGAGAATTATGACACATGAATAGACTTGTTTAGCACTGGGAGTTGTATCTCCAGAAAAATCTCTCTTAGTTTTCTGATCCTCTGCCTGGAAACCAATCTTCACTTACTAGTTGAGGCACAAACCAATGTTACTGTGTATCAGCAGTTTTCAATCTGTGGGTTATGACCCCTTTGGCAAATCTCTATCTCCAAAAATATTTATATTATAATTCATAACAGTAGCAGAATTACAGCTGTGAAGTAGCATTGAGAATCAATTCTTTGGTTGGGGGTCACCCCAACATGAGGAACTGTATTAAGGGGTAGCAGTATTAGGAAGGTTGAGAACCACTGCTCTAGAGCAAAATACCTGAGCAGAAAAGGGCTAATTAAGCCTCTGTTTGCAGGTACATCACCAAGTGGAGGGAGATAGATCTGGATTCAAAAGTAGGGGTGAAAATCCTATGTGAAGTTCTAAAGCCGCAGCACCCAATAAAAATCAAAATAGAACGTGAACTGTACATGTAATTTAAAGTTTTTTGGTTGGGCATAGTAGATTATATCTATAATTCTACCACTCTGAGGTTGAGAAAGGGGAATTTCCACAAGTTTGGAACCAACCTTGGCTACATAGCTAAGGCTACCCGTTCTCAAAATAATGTCTTTCCTATAAGTATGTTCAGAAAAGCAATAGTGGCAAGTAAAATTAATTTTGACAACTATGGTATTTAACCCCAGGAATCTCAATTACTATCATTTCAAACTAAGCATAAAAATTGACCAATTCCTCTCTAGTCCTAAGCTTTGAAATCCTCTTTTTTCCATACACCTCAGTTTGGATGTGCCACATTTAAGTCTTCACATAGTTTCCAATGAGGATTCTTCCTCTCTGTTCAGATGATTCCTAACATCCATTTGTTCCATACATGGACTTGATGAGCCCTTTCAGTCAGAGGGATCTGACTGTCTACCATCAACCTCACTCTTGGTCCCTTGTAACTGCTTGAGACCCCATGCTTCATCCATCTGTCCCATCAGTCATCCAGAATTACACACAATTTATCTGGGAAACAGCAGGCATAGATGTTCCCTCCCCAACCGGTCAGTGGGAGCAGCGGGTCAGGAGCTAAACACAGTTCAGTCTCTGGGAAATGATGGTTGCCTGCAATCTTCCCAAACAACTGAGCTATTTCTGAAAAACAGCAGGGTAAGTCCTGCCAAGAAAACCACACAAAAGCCAGTAGAAGAGGGAGAGACCACGTTAGCTTGTCTCCACTCTTCCTCTGACTGTGCAACACACAAGGTCACAAGACTTTGGGTAGCATTGTCTCTTGTTGCCATGTTCAGAGCTAGACTGTCTCAGGAAATAATGCCAGTGGTCAACAAATGGAACCTTGTTAAATTAAGAAGCTTCTGCAGATTCAAGAACTACAGTTAACTGAGTGAAAACACAGTCTGAGAGACAACTTTGCCTGTCATACATCAGACAGAAGATGGATATATAAAATGCATAAAAAACTAAAAACAAACAAACAACAACAACAACAACAAAAAAAACAAAACAAAACAACTCAACCACAGGAATGCAAACAACCCAAGCAATATATGGAATCACGAAACAATCAGCTAGTTCCCAGAAGAGAAACTTAAATACTATTAAACACATGAAAAATAGCTCAGCTTCACTGTCGCAGAATTCCAAATTAAAACTATGTTGGGATTCTATCTCACCCCAGTTAGAATCTCAGTCATGAGGAAAACAATAAGATAAATGTAAGCAAAGATGTGGCAGAAAGAAAGCCCTATATACTGCTGGTAGGAAGGTAAACTAGTCCAGTCACAATGGAAACCAGGACAGTTGGTTCTCTAAAAACTACCAGTAGATCTACATGAGCCTGCAGACCTGGGTATTTACCCAAAGGACTCCATGTCATGTCATAGAGAAACTACGCAGCATTATTCACAACAGCTAAGTTATGGACTCAGCCAAGATGTCCATCAACAGAGAGGAGGGTCAAGACCAGGCTGTATAGATACACACACACAGAACTTTTTTAGCTATAAGGAAAAACAAAGTCATGTCTGTAGAGAATTGGATGCAGTTGGAGACAACCATAGTAAGCCAGGCTCAGAAAGATAAATATTATGTGCTTTCTTTCATATTCGGTTCCTAGATTTTATAGATACATAAAAATCATATACACATAAATGAAAGGAGAAGTGAAAGTATTGGGTGAACAAAGGTGATTTCGGGGAGCACGAGGGGAAAGAGGGGGAGGTGCATTGCAACACACAAGATATACTTGTAGGAAAATGTTCACATAAAAAATACCATGTACAATAAGTAATGAACTTTTAAAAAATTATAATAAAACACAAGAAAATAAAGTTAATACAGTCAAAGTTAATACAAAACTGCAAAATACTGCAAGTGGATTTTATATCCTCTTGAATTGGATTGTGAGCTTGAGAGAGAGGGGAAAGTAATAAAAGTCAATAATATGTTTAACTTCTTTCTCCATTGCATTTAACATGACACAACAAAGTACTGTTTCTCCATTAGGTAGACAAGAAAACTGAGGTTCAGGGAGGCCAGTTTTCTTAATTCATAGTGAAGAGAAATATTTAACTTTGGTGCTTGCCTCCATGTTTACAGGAAGCTTTCACTACCCAAGCTTGGTACAGGATAGTTGCATCTGATTTCTTCCAGCTATGGCTTCCTTAGTGGAGCATTATCTCTGTGGCACTGGCCTGTTCGGCTCTTAGGCTGAATTTCAGACATGTTTCCTGGTCTCCCAGCATCATAGTTCCTTGCTTCTGTCACTGCTTGCTGAGCCCAGTGGATACATCAAGAAGTATATGACAGATATCCTTAAGAGGATGATTCCAAGTGTCTGATAAACAGCAGAATTTCTGTTTTCTACTTTTGTTGGGCTGAACGCAGAAGGGATGCTCCCAGATCAGACAGACTAAAATTCAATCCCTGACTCATTTCTCACCAGCCACACATCCTTAGGCGAAGGTTTCAACTACTTAATAACTGTGTATTAAAGTATTTTAAAGTTTTTATTTATTTTACGTGTGTGGCTGTTTTTGCCTGCATGTATGTATGTATGTATGTATGTATGTATGTATGTATGTATGTACACCGTATGAGTGCAATGCTGTGGATGTCAGAGGGCATCAGATTCCTTGGGACTGGAGTTAGGGATATTTGTGAACTAGTATTTGGGTGCTAAGAACTGAACCTAGATCCTCTGCAAGAGCAAAATTGCTCTTAACTGCTAGCCCCTCTTTCCAGCCCATTACATCTTGTTTTCATAAAAGTGGCAAAAAACAAAACAAAACAAAAAAATGGCTCCTCAGTCATTGCTTTAACTCAGAGGATCTGAAACAACTGCATAGAAACACTGGCGAATTGAAATCATTCACGTGATGAGCTGCCACTCAAATGCTTCTTATCTCCTCTCCTCCTTCCTTTCTTGTGCCCTTTTTGTCTTTAGGTATCCACACTTTCTTTGCTCAAATATTCTTTTATGACATATGTAACCAGAAAACATCATCGGAGAAGACAATAGTCACACTTAGCTGGTGAGAATTACAATTGTGACAGTTGGAAGTTGTTTTCCTAGAGAGATTTGTAAAATTAGGACAAAATCATGGGAGAGGTGGCTTCTTGGCTTCCCCTGCGTGTGTCTATCTGCGGCCTTCCCTGGGATCAGGCTGTGAGAGGAGCTACCTGCAACACTCTCAATGCTCTGATGTGATCAGGATCTTAACGAGGCATTTCAAGTGTTCTGCTCAATGCCTCTTCTGGGTCTACTGTACCATCTGAAAATTTGCAGTGGTCCACAACATTTTAAGCCTGATGTCGTATGAAATAAAACTTAAATGACTGATTTAGGGGGTGCCATTTTCCCTACTCACA